TCTGGTGTCTCCGCCTCTCTTGGCTAGTCACATCACCTGTTGGGTCAGTATGTTTTTGAGTTTTAAGGAATGCTTAATGAATTTAGATTCCCGAATATCAGAGTTTGACTGAGTTGGGTCCATATTTTCCGGTACACCTTGCATAATGATATTTACTAAGAAAAAGAGAATTCAGCGAAGAAAATTTTCTTTTCGACGAAATCATTTACTTATGCTGTGCATTCGTATATATAGTTATATGGAAAATATATGTCTACAGAAGGCTAGGAAAGATTGCATTATAAATTGATTGAACAATAAATAACAAATGAGGTGACGTACTCATCAAGGGGTAAGGAAGAAAATAAGTTATGGGTCAGATAATAGTTCAGTTGAGAGATATGAAGAAAAGCGACAAACACAAAGGTCATAATAATAATAGTCTGAGTAATAATCAAGAAAACTTGTATAAGGTAATAATACCCCTTGATTAGTACGTCACCTCATTTGTTATTTATTGTCGAAACAATTTATAAAGCAATCTTTCATAGCCTCCTGTAAACATATATTTTCCACATAACTATATATATGAATGTACAGCTTAAGTGAATGATTTCGTCGAAAGGAATATTTTCTTCGCTGAATTATCTTTTTCTTATTCAATGACATTATGAGTTATTTTAGTTATACAGTGATATTTCTTTCATGGAAAAACGCCTCGCGAGATTCCTTAGGGATGTTCCGGGTGAGATTTCGTTCAGAATACGGTATATCGGGCAGTATTCTTACCTTCCCATCGGACTTCAGTAAGTGACTGGCTAGTAGGACGTCCTCTACGTCGGAGGCATTCTTAAGTGTAACACGAAGCAGCCTCGGGTGATTTTGGTGGTTAGAGTCCTTCCCCCGAGTGAGCCGTGTGACCGTCAAAGGCTCTATTCTAGGGAGTTCAAGCTTCCCGTTCAATTCTCCCCAGAGCATCCTATCATTTTTGTCCTGCATACTGATAGTAAGGTCGGGGTTGTCAACAAGGTTCATAATTATGACAGAGTCGTCACGAACCGTAATCGATTTCCTAGATTTTCCAGGGCGCCTAGGTTTGACACCTTGTTGTTTGGATGTCGAAGCGCGTTTTCGATTGCTGGGCTCAGTGATCACCGCGCGGACAGTCTTAGGTGTAGAATGTGCGACCAAGTCACCAATTGATTTCCGCACGGTACTTGAAATGTTCAGCTTCGGCCGGGGCGCTTGGGCTTTTTCACTCCTGTCAACGTGTTTCCAATCACCCACAGGGTTTTGGGGAACCACTGTCTCGTTGAAGAACACTTCCCTGGGGGACCCAAGTTTACTGAGGGAGTCGATCACCGTCGGTGTTAGGATGGTGCTGAGTTTCAGAACGTCATCACTCGTGCTTTTACCTGAACCATCGATAGACGACCTATCAATATCCTTTTTCTTATTTGCACTGCGCGTTCCAGTTTTTTTACCCGTCACGATACTGTCATTTACCAAATTCTTAGACAACTTGCCTCTCAGACCTGTAATGTAGCATAACTACGGTATCAGTGTTGCACGTAACACATACCCACCTACGATCAGACTTGCTGAGTCTGCTATAGGCTGCTGCTGTTAGATCTGTACACACTTCGTGGAACCAACCCTTGCGGTTGTCACATTGCATGCCAGATGTAACAGCGAAACGGCAACCAGGTCTTTTGCATGAACGTTTCATGGCTAATGATTTAGACTGTCTTAAAAATACAAGCAGTGAATATAGGACCGTTAAAAAAACACACAGTACGCAAAAACCGGCAAAACTGGATAAAAACGGTTAACGATAAGCAAAAAGTTAGTCTTTACGTGAAAACTAAAAAAAACCGATAGTGAGCTGAGGCAAAATCTAAGTTAACTATTAAGTTGAGTGAAACACAAAAAAGAAGTAATCTATTAACGTATAGCTCAAAATAGATTCTTTAGATCGAAAATGGTAATTTTTTGTTACGTAAGAACACAGCAGAAGTTTGAGAAATGTAAATCACGTTAGGACGGCAAGTTAAATAAGTCAGTGCGTTTTCAAACCTGCCCGCTGTTTCGTATGCGCGACCTTGAACGGCCTGTCACGAGGCGGTCATTCCGTATTTGATTTGCTAAGGGTCAGTTGGTTGTCCTCTGGGTTGCACGAATGTCAGGTTTTCTCTTATTTGAGTCGTTTTTTGGCTGTGGTAAATTCGCGAAACCAATTCCAAAACGTTTATTTGGCTTCCTCTGTTTTGTAATGTACAATTTGGCTCTTTTTTTGCTTTGTAACTTGACCTGGGATAACAATTACCCTGTTGAACCTCACTCTCATTGTTTAAAATATATAGGGATCCCCAATACTGCGTATCGAGTATAAATTAACTGTAAAAGATACTCTGAATTTGTGCGAATCGTTGTTTTCTGCAAGAATTAAGGCAACATGACGGGTAACCCGTAAGTCCTAAATGTTTATAGTCCTTTCTTCAGTTACTGAAGGATTCCCGCATGAAATGGCTGTTTTTATAATAATTAACGAGGGATGTTTCTATGGACTCATGTTCCAGAGACATTTCGGTCGAATTAAGCAAACCATTTCAATGCATTATACTGAGCAGGCGTTTTGGAAGCTGGATTGAATTCGAAAGTGTGTTTAAGGAGTTCCAAAAAGTATGAATGCGTAATTCTACCCCTTTTCAGTTTACCCATACGCACTACATTCACGGCGAAAGTAAAATGCTGAAGGACGTGCGATTTAAATACAGTTTTGTGGTATTTCATTGCACATTTGGTCATCGGCGTAAACCAAAATGTCTATCAGTGAATAAAAATCCGTGAGATATTTAACTAACGTGTGACGTTTTGGGTCTAAGTCTCGAAACTGCCAATCAAGATTCCGTGTGAAATTAGACGATGATGAATATGTCATCAAGTCATACAAGATGGTTCACAATCATCCGTGCAGTAGTTCATTCATGCTTTGTGATCCATGGACCAGAAGGTTGTCCGCTGAAGAAAAAGAAAATTTGAAACCCGTGATACTACAGTCATCGTCAGCAGATGAATTAATAGAATGCATTAAAGACCGAACGGGTAAACAGGTTACTGCAGCTGATGTGAAGACTATGAAAGCTGAACTTTCCACAGGTAAATGTGTAAAAGTATATTTCAGGTTGTTATACACGAACGCAAGTATTTGATGTATTGCGGCAAAATGGTGAACTAAGAGAGTATTCCGAAAATGGATACATCACCAGATTCTGTTTTAGTACTTATGAGCAGATAGAATTATATAACAAATATCCGGAAGTAGTTTGTATTGATTCTACTTACAACACGAATAATAAAAAGTATTTATTATTTTTCCAATTACGCTTTGTAGATATTCTTTATTCCTGTTAGTAGTAACGGATAATTTCGGACGGGGACGTCCTGTTTTGTTTGCATGGACCAAAAAAGAATTTCGATCAGATGTAACTTGGATTTTGGATAAATTTAGAAAAAAAGCGAAATTTCCCCTTTCTGTCGCTCTGTTTTTCAAATGTCGCTTTCACCTTAAATATCCGACGAATTGCCGATTTTTACCCTAAATACCCGCTATATTGTCTACTTTTCTACTACATGCACACCGATGTAATTGAGCGCCCACTTTTAAAAGGCTTCTGTATTTACCCCAACCGCCTCCTGTGTTCACCTTCATTCCCACAACACAGCACACGAATAATGTAATGTACGTAATATATGGAATAAGTTCCAAATTTCTATTGAAAACAAAAAGCTTATTATTGTACAACGTTATGAGCAGTTGGCAGATGGTAGAGCATCAATGTTCCTGATGTAATTGCGATTGTCACGGACCAGACATTCCACGTATTGTTTCTTTCCATCAGGCCTTTTGGACTATGGAGACTCAATTGAGAATTGTTTAAACAATTGTTGTGAATTCTAAAATGTAATGAAGAAGAACGTTACTATATCTAGGAAACTTGTTTTGCACAACAAGGTACTTGAAGCTGAACTTACGGTTGTATCCTTGAACACGGAAGACTCTACCTATAGATAACGGGAAAACAATAATCAGTTTAAAGTCGTACGTACGTGTTCTTTCTTCAGTCGATGACGCTTCTGTACTTTGTCTCTCATGTCGTGAAAATAACTTTGCGTAGCCATGTTATATAGTTTCGCAAGGTCTTTCTCGTTGACAGATGATGACAGGAATCGATTAGTAAGTGAACCTGAAGTTTAAAAACCTTATTTATCTTACTTCGTACGCAGCCATAAAACCGGCACTTCTGAATCACTCGTTTTGATGAAGTACCAAGTTGTGTGCAATTAATGGCGACTTCAGGTTTCATGATGTAGAACAGAAGATATCGCATGGAGGTTTTAGGATCATCATCCATTAAACGCGTCAACATGGCCATCTGTAATAGAAATGAAGGATAAAAATCATGTTGTGTGCTTACAAATCTGTCCCTCACGTGCAGGCGAAAAAGCGACATTTCCCTTTATCTACGCTTTCGTCCGCTTTATTTCCCCTTTTTTCGCTTTTATTTCCACTTTATTAGTTGTTTGGGTCACTACCATAATAAGGGAGGTAAGTCATATGTAAATTATTTTACAGCTTGTTTTTGCTTGAAACTATAATTTCGGTCTATTTTTGACTTAATAAATGATGAATTTCACTTGCCTGAGTTTGCATTGTTACAACTTACCAAGTTAGGCTGACTAAACATTCATCCAGGTTGTCAGCTCCAAATACGTCAGGCAACCAATAGACTGCAATAAACGCCATGTAACACGCATAAATATTACAAAAATAAACATGTGACGGAAAAATACTGCGATTAGCCGATAAAAAACGACGTTAGAAATCCGCGACAACATGTAACACATGAGCGATAGTCAATGACATGTATTTTCGACCATGTCCGTTAGGGCTAAACTTCCCGTTCGAAAAGCGCGCGTCAGTGTCGTCTAAGATCTTCATAATCTTTACCTTGCTGTAGGTTAAATTCAGTGTTCTTTTGTGAAAATTATTGATTAAGGCCGATTAATTAATTTTAGTGTGGGAAGACTACCAAAAATTTTCACATTTTGAGCTGCTGCATATTACTTTAAATCACCATGTTCGGAGAATGAGTGAATGAAAGGATATTAGATGAAAGCATAGAAATAAATCAGCAAAGAAAAAGATGTTCAAAAAGTTTTGAGCATCAGTCAAAGGATTTATAACCAAACTCTCTACTGATTTGTTTTTATGTACCGTTTTGAATGAACTCCTAACTTTTAAAAGGTGTTACTTTTGAATTGATGCAGATGAATTAATAAATTTTAATGCATTGTCTACGAATATGGTCAATAATCATACCAATAGTTATGATTGTTGTGAGACACAACACAGGCTTTAGTTCTAGAGATGTTTTATTGAATGGTGGTTACATTGGTAAGCAAAAGTTCAAAAAAAGTATTTCACATATGTTTTTTAAAGGCTGTCTGTACCAAGAAGTGTGTCTGACTGGAGAGATATGTCACAATGGTGAGTGTCATTTATTTGTTACGGAGTTTTAGATTCTCTCTTCGGAAGGTGTGTTCCTGATAATGTTCAGGATCATTTATTTGATGCTCGCTACTCACAAATGTACAAACTGAAATCTCTTCCTTTGTTTAATAAACCACAAAAATATAACTGGGCTGACACAACGCTTCAATGTTTATTGAGAGCAATGATTCTGGAGTATGAGTAAGCGGGTTTGAATTCAGGTGTTTACACCTAATGTACATTTTTTATTTGGAGATCAATATTTTGTTTTAAAAACGAAGCAAAGTGGTTAATTTCTTTTCATGATCTGTTAGTATTATGGGCTAACAATTTTTATTTGACCCATTTATGATTTTTATTCAAGTTTAGGCTGAATTGTGTGGAAAAAACACAATTTGTATACTTTCATCCCGGAACATTGTTTTATACTTTAGATGCATACTATTCGCTTATTTAACTGACACATTCCGTGTATAGTAATGTTTTCAATCTATCTAGTCACTGTCTCGACATACGAAAATATAGATGTGAGAATAATTCGATTTACGGTAGTGTGAAATTTTTGACAAATGTTTGCAGTCAAATTATGTAATCAAGAAGTAGTAGGTGAGAACGAACTAATGTATTGCACTTGCAATTCAAAATCAAACAGTCGTGTAGTGCAAAGGAATCACTGGTCCATATAAACACCACAAGTGTACCGTTGTAGCTCTTACGAGATTACGGTAACAAAACTTAGATCTCGCTTATAGGAAAGTAGTTAAGTTCTTAACACTTAAGTGGCAATAGATTGTGTTCGAATATTCAAAAAGATGACACCTGAAGCTAATATTAAGACTAAATAACCCGGTATTTTCTTTATAAGCTAAAGATAGTGAATAAGCTGCTTATATAGAAAGCCAGATAAATTTACACCACTTTTATATAAGACCATAGTAAGTTAACTGACGCAATCGGAACGCAGTTTTCCAACTTTTTTTATCGGAGATACATTTTTGAAATGTCTAATGAGACTCTTTTTCAGACAAAATATTATTCCAAAAGTACAATTATTTGGATTAGATGTTCTTCTAGTAGATATTTCATATTGTTTAACATTTTGAGGTTTTGAATTCAGTGATAACGTCCTGTTTGTAAGTAACTTTTGCCTTGAGAAGAAGTGATCTACAAATATATCATTAATGCTATCACTTGATCATTAAGAAGGTGGTTATTTTCGCAAAGGCATCCATCAATATAAACCTGTGCGAAGCAATTTATAGCTAATCTACTTAAAGTTAATCAAGTTTTCCTTTTCCTTGTGCAACTCTTTAAGCACTTCAACCATAACGTTTTCCCCCCAATTTTATTATTTATCCAATCAATTCTATGGTTTTTTGTTGTGAAAAGCCACCTATTGCTATCTAAAACTTCAGAATTCTAAAGCAAACCCAAGATCGTGATCAGATTTATTTTGATGTATGTTGTTACAAATTCGACATCTGTTTACTTGGAAATAAAATCAGTATATTGACATATTACTACGAATTTAACGATTACTTAAATATTTGGTTGCGTACAGGGTGACGAATGATCACATCAGTACAGTTATTTGAAATATGACTGACCAAATAATCCTATTACTTACAGATCTTTTAAAACCTATGGACGGAAATACTCACGCCTGAACGACGGTGATTGAAATAACAAGCAGAAGGTGCAGGTATAAAAAAATAAACTACCTTAAGAAAAGACTCATTGGGGTTTCAAAACGAATCACTGAAAATACGATCATAAAGTCAATTTATTGAAAAAATCTGACAAGTATGGAAAAGCACCTACTCCAAAATGGTTTGAACTACAACACAAGTGAAGTTTTAAACTGAAATTCTTTGTCTTACTAGACTGATAACTTAAAATATATGGAGAGACAATAAATAGCGCGAAATAAGATCTATAACTAGATGTAAGAAAGATAACACTTAACTGATTGCACAAGAAAAAATTTGTAAAGAGACTGAGAACTACAAAAGTGATTTTCATAGTTCAAACGGACAAAGGATGCACTGTACTGATTGTCGATGATAAAAAATATTTCAGGAAAGCCACGAAGTTAAATGTCGATCAAAACACATACAGATCAATAAAGAGGATCCAATCAAAAATCCGGAAAACCCGATCTAAAGTATTTTAAACAAGCTTCACAAAGTAGGACAGATATCAAAACAAAATCGATGGCGAATGCAATCCAGTGGACTAGTTCTCTCTCGATCCTACAGTGAAACGAAACTACTCAGACCGAACGTGTCACTCTGTGGAACCATAATGTGCAATTTATCAGAAGAAAGTTCAAGAATATCAAAACATTTGATGGATTGGTTCAATTACTTCCTTGAGTCTCTCACGCTATTTTTGGATAAGATTATTCAGATTGAAGCTAACAACGACGAACTAATGATACCATCCCACATTACAGCGTTATTTATCAAGATTAACGAGGAACATCTTTGTAAGCATAAATGCCGACTAGCATTCAAAAGCCAAGATTTATCCCCGCTTACATTAATTCACGTGTACAATCGTGGAAATAAGTTTGATTGGAAAATTGTTAGGATTTTAAATAGAGGACATATAAGGTATACCAGAAAATGTTTAGAAACGTTCACTAAAATAAATCATCAATCAATTAACACTGACATAATTTATCAACCAATTAGAAAGGTCATGGACAAATATAGAATCAATAATCAGGTTAAAGCGGGATATTATCCGGGTCAGTATGCGGGCAATGACAAGGTAAAGGAAAAAAATCACCAACCAAGATTGAGTTTAATGGGACAAGTTATCAGTCATGTTTGGAGAAATCCGAATTGCTCACTTCTTCCAGAAGTTTCTTCTGATGGTGCTGTTTTAAAAAAAACAATGATAGCCTCACGAATAAACATCTAGCTTGGAGAACAAAATTTGACCCAAATTATCCATCTAATATGCAGGTATCCACTATCTCGAAGCTACTATTTCACTGACAAAGAAAGTATAAATGTATGTAAACACCCAGATAATTATCACTAGTAAATAGTTCAATGAGATTGACAATGGAACATAGTCTATATCTGTTTCTTTATACTTTGTGGTCATTACAACAAACTTATAAGCTGTTCTAAATAAATGTTAACGTGTAGGTTATAGTACAATGAATGAAGTGTGTAGTGAGTGTATTAATTCAAATTTTCTAACTAAATTTTAAGTAAAAAGCATATGTGCGTCCAAATACATTTTCAAGATCAAGTTTAATATAAATTTATAAATAAAGCTGACACCCATTCTCAAAAGCAAATGACGCTTATGTTCTGCATATCTTACTTAAAAATGATGAATCTACTTCATGGACTACCATGATTTTGGATATTCAGGTTTTTCTAACACAGGGTTTTACGACTGTTTTGAGAGGAGATCATAACAAATATTTGGTAGAAATTCCTAAAGTAATTCATGATCACAAATGTGTAGTATAGAATGTTAGCTAATGCCCTAGAAAATAACATTTTAACTTATTAAATGGGTTTGGTGGATCAGATCAGTCAGCTAAAACGTAGGACCAGGTACACATATGCATCGGTCCAAGTTGTCATGCCTCATTAGCACAACAAGATGAATACGGAATTCATAGAAGTAGTTAATTTAGTGGTGGCAATATATAAAAGAAAGGTTGTATAGAAGGATATAGTACAGGAAGAAAGACAGATACGAAGCAGTTTTAATCTCAAGTTTTAAATGAAGATAAAGAGTGTATACACCTACTCCGTTGTGATCGATTCTGAGCTATGCCACCCAGAGTCTCCAACCATTGGTTACGATGATCACGCGGACCCCAACCAAGTAGTCTGCATCTATCAACATGGCTCAGACCAGAAGATAGTGACTTCAAGCACTGATGCCACGTTTTTGGTTTGGCCGCCCCTAACTTTCTTCCAACCATTGCCAATACTAGTCAGCATTGCGCGTCGTGGTAATCGGTGTTCAGGCATATGTAACACGTGGCCCAATCATCTCAGTTGATAAAGATTCACAACCTCATCAACTGACTTTCCATTATTCCCTAATACCCTGTGTCTAACCACACTATTACTTACCCGGTGATCCCAGCAGATGCGAGCAATATTTCTAAGGCATCTGTGGTCAAATACTAGTAAATTACGAGTATCTCCTACTCTTAATGGCCACGTTTCGCTGTCTTAAAGTAGAACAGAGCGAACTGATGCAGATGATGATAGACGGATATTTCGTCTTCGCCATAAGTGACGTAAGTTGGCAAAAGCCAAACGAGCTTTTTTAATCCGTGCTGAGATTTCGTCAGACACCAACCCATTTGGGCTGATCAGACTTCCAAGATAAGTGAAGTTCGACTACTTCACTCCCTATCATTAGTTCAGGAGTTGACGCAGGCCAGTCCTGGAGTAACAATTTACATTTGGATGGGGAGAAGCGCATCCCAAATATCCTGGCATTGTTACTCAGTGCTAACAGAAGACTCTGCATTTTGTCAGCGTATTCACCAAACAGGACTATGTCATCTGCGTATTCTAAGTCGATAAGTGAACCTCCTGGTGGAAGATCAATTCCTGAAAATTCAGTCGACGAGAGCGTTATTTCCAACAGTAGGTTCATGATGAAGTTAAACAAAAGTGAAGATAGTGGACAGCCTTGTCGGACACCACTTGAGGTCGTAAAATCATATGACAGTTCACCATAAGCTCTCACTCGACTAGTAGTGTTCGAGTAAAGAGCCTTTACAAGGTTTATGTATTTCTGAGGTACGCCTTTCAGTGACAGACACTGCCAAAGAACCTCTTGATCTATAGAGTCAAATGCTGCTATGAAGTCGAGAAAGTGCACCAGATCACAATTCTTTCGTAAATTTTTTTATTCCGTCCGGCACCTAACATCTTCAGTTGGGTTGATTACTTCTCGCTCATCCAGACATTATAAATCTCCTCTTTTTATATGAAAAATTTTATGTCTAGAATCATGTACTAGTCTATTTGAGCATCCATCTTTGTTAAGAGTTTGTACAATAGATTTCCAGTGAAAAGGATAATGCTTACAAAATAAAAAATAATTATGCAGTTTTAAATGTTATCGACAATCATTAATAATAGTTTGCTGATTAAACAAGATTTAAGGTCTTACTCGAATCATCATGATAAGATACTCAGCAAGATGCGTGGGAGTATCTTATGTGACTCCCAGTAGTAAATCGGGTAAACTAACGTTATCAATTCCGTAATTTATAAATTATATATCTCTCCTGGCTCAGAAGGATTTCTGTTATGTAAATGACTTATATGATCGTTCATTTTACTAACAATTCTGTCGATCAAATCAACTGTGTGTCAAAACTAGTACATCTAGAAACGTTTGTCACTGAAAACGTTTTTTCAGGGTTCTCAAACGAATAAATTGAACTGGGGAAAAGATGTGCTGGCGTTGCTTTATAAAACGTAATACTCAGAAAAATGTCTCAGTTCTGAAAAGTTTGATAAATGTTTGCAGACAGTATTTTCATGCTTCAAAATGTTTAGCTTTCACATAAACGTGGGTTATCATTAAATGCTATGCAATTTTCTCCTGACCAGAATGGTTTTACGCTTACTGACTCATAACTTTACTTTGATGGATTTTTAAATCAAATATAGTATATGGAATACTGCTATGTAGTGTTGTCCTAATCAGGGACTAAATATAATTTCTTGAAGTTTAAACATTGGTGGAAGCTGGTGGTCTGAACATGAAATTAATTGATATTTGCTAATCAGATCATTCAAGCAGAACCTTTCAAATTTTGCATGAAATACAGAAAGCCGATTATACAAAGCTTCTTGACGAGAACATTTTTATGTTAACTTATCTAATTTGAGACTTTATAGTTTCCCGATTGTCTCATATACGACACTTTTATTATTATTACAATCGTTATTATATTTCGATAAAAAAAACAATCAATGGAACAGTTGACTTAATTTCTTAAGGACGGTAAAATTTTGATTTTTACTTATCGTTTTAATGAACGAGATTAAATGGTTTTGTGTTTAGTAAACTATAATTTATTGGAAAGCTGATAAAAATTTATTTCGGATCATGAGAAAATTTAAATTCCCTACTGTATAAGATAGAAAAAAATAACTCACAAGTAGATGTGGGAAATCAGATACTATCAAATCCTAGTGTCTTTCAATTAGATTCTCTTCGATTGTGAATAAAACTAACCCATTTTCTGATGGAATCCATCACATCTCACTTCTCTATTTGAGTAATTTTCTTCATAGTTAGTAGGCCAAAATTGAGTGATTAATACTTTTGAACTTTTGTATCATTTTGATGGTGGCTGGAAAAAGTTAACAGTAGATCTGAAATCGAAGTTTGACGACGGATGGAAATGGCCGAAAAAAGTATTTGGAACTCTAATAGGATTGATACTTCTCCATAGCTGTGAAACAGCACCATCAATCCCTACAACAAAATTAATACCTTCGGTGTTTCTTTCTGAGACTTTTTGACGTAGTTGAACCCTGTCACTGACAGTAATGCAGATAAATGAGTAAGATTACTGCTTTTTTTTGAAATGAATGAAGAAAAAATAATAATTTTTGAGTAAATTTTATTTGTTTACACCATATTTTACTTATCTTCTTTGTATAAAGCCATGGGTTTGCTGACCAAAGTTGTTCAGCTAATCATTCAACGCTTACTTCTTCGCACTTGAATGCAATTGATCTTTATTCAAGTACAAATAGAATGCTTCATTATACATAAAAGTTTGTGTTTAGATTATGTGTCTATCGCCGAAGGCTTTTTATTCATATAGTATTTATCAAAAATGGAAATTGATGAACAGAATATAATTCAGGTAGTATGGTGCTTTATCCATTGTATTTGAATATAACTTACTGATATGAACTGCAGATGGCGATATTTTAGTCATATTGTTTCAGTTGAGATATTTAGTAAATTCTTATCACAATTCGAAACTATTCTTTTTATACATCAGAACATTATAAAAAGTGTTACATTTACTGTTTGATTTACAGATCTCATTCAATCTTTGTTGATCCCAAATCGTTTTGTTTATACCAGTATGATATGGAGGATGGTGATAATATTGATGGTCAATTCCATAGTCAGTATGTAAAACGTGATGTAAGGAAAAATCGTGGATATCCAAATTTTATGCTTAGCAACCCACTGAAAACTATAAAACCTTATTATTTTCCTGAAAATTCATATGAACATATAAATAATGACAATGACTATAATCGGTGGACTGATAATCCTATTAATAAAGGAATGAATGCAGAAATGAAGAACAATGAAGAATTAGATCACTTCAGTAAAAACATTCAGCAAATGCTACGTTTATCTGGGAATTATGAAAATAATGAGAACATAGAATTTAATGGAGAACAAGAATTAGCGAATAGATTGACGGATGATTCAAACAAAGACAACGGTGATATGGCTGACAAATTAAATCAGGATTATCTACTCTCAGGCAGTAAGTAGTTTAGTTGAATTTCTGAAATTGTTTATGTTATATCTTGTGGGTTTGTGTCCCAATCAAAATATGACGTGACGATGTCGCCGATACAGTGAATTATCGATCGGACCACTGACGCATAAAACCCGTACGAGCAGTCTAGAGTCCTTATCGGCCCTTGATTCCCGCCTAGCCCTGCCTGTTAAGTCCAGAACTCCAACCACAACCTCTGCAGTATGAATCATTATATTTTAAACATATTGAGTTTATATACCAATCAAACAGACCACATCGTACCATAAAATAGACAATAACATTTGTACAAGGTTCAGCCAAATGTGGCTGTGAATGTGGGAGGCAGTAATTAATTGACTGGATATTACTCAAGAATGGTAAAACGTATAATAATAGCTCATAGGTCAAAATAAAGCTTATAATGAGAGGAACATGAATACGAATAGTTTAGTTGCTTGACAATCATACAATAAAAATATATGTGTAATACTAGTCCAGAAATAGATTACAACAGTTACCATTCATTCTTCTAATCGGGATATAACAGTTTAATAATCCTGTGACATGATCAAAAAGTAATTTTGACCATGATCAGATTACATTCGACAAGTGTTTTGTATTACAGAATAGCGAATATGTACCGAATACTTTTCTTATGCCGAACATTTAACTTTCAAATTTTTTAAAAGCAAACCAGCTTTTAATATCCTAACGTTACCGTACTACATAAGCAATTATTACGAAATGTTTTATATTTCTAATTTAAAAGAAAAAAACTTTACTCATCAATTTAAATTCATGGATAGCTTCCATCGAGAAAACCAATGATCTATGTGTCTTTGTAAAATGGTATTCAGTAATCGTAGATATTCAGCAACTACTTCACTCAGCTAAAATTATAATTTGACCAATAAGGAATATGTAATATTTTATCAGTTCATCATCAAATATGAAGTCTTTAAAAAAATGTATTTTTAATATTTATCTCTGTTTCTGATCTTATCAAGAATCTTTGGAAACAAGTGACGTACTTAGATTTGAAACTAATGTTTTTATCAAAACAATGTTGTGATACCTTGAGAGCTTTGAGACATTGCAGATCCTCATTTTATGATTTTACAATTGACTAGGTTATAGGAGTAGTAGAATAATAAATCATTTCACTAAAATGTCCAATATTCCCGGATGATAAAGGTTTCTTCTGGAAACATCGATTGATGAAACCGTAACAATAAATCATTGGCTACATGTAATCATTGGTATTGTGGTGTATACTACTTATGGCCGTTCTTAGTTGGTGGAGCGATTTGTCTGGTTAATTCTGATAACGAACGAGACTTTAACCTGCTAGATAGTAGACTGGTCCTTTGTGCTGAGAAGATCGAAGTTGAGAAAATCGAATTGAGAAGAACAGAAATTTAATGTATGGTTTTCGTATTTTCGCAAAACATTCTGTAATTTTGTACTACACCAAAAATTGGTCTTCCTAATGTAAGGGTACATTCACTGCAGTATGGATTTTGGCTTTAACGTGACTTACCAAGTATTCCGACCACTGAATTATTTATTAATTGAAAATCTATTGCACAAGAATTTGATATGTCCAAGTCTTTTACTATGCATTAGATATGATTGTTTGAATTTGATTCCATTTGGAAGTATAGGAAAAACGATGTATATAGTATCGAGCTTTTTCTTGTATTTCACCAAGTTTGAAGCTGGTATTAAGACAGTTATATACAATGCGCGTACATGGTGCTAAATCTGTTGGTTTTAGTGATTCAGTTTGTTTCTGTATAATATTTATCACAAGTGCATACCAACTAAAGATATTCAAACTGAGAAATTCTGAATGATAAATTGTAACATAAACCTATTATTATGATATATCCATGGTTATGGGTTTCTTAGTAATTTAAGGACTGCATCACCCAACTCTAAGTCTCTTATTTCAGGAGATAGTTAAAGTGAGAGACTTAAGAAATATGCTTAATTTCTCGAAACAATTGCTCGATTTCTAACTGGTTAACTGATTGTGTAATTTAGGTTCTCTAAAAATATTAAGATTGTTTATTCGAAATAAAGATTGGCTGAAATTTCAAACCATTCACACTACCCAGATTTAGTAAAATTCTGATAGTTTTGACAGTTTACTAAAAAATTGTTGGATTTTAGTGTTTAGAAAATTTTTATTTATTGAACAATAGACTGAAAATTTGAAGTTTAACCAATGTGGGTTGAATATGTCCAAATCATACTGTATAGATATTCGTCAGAAATTTTAAAAATGTCTTTCGTGAAATGAACTAATTAAGAGTAGTGGATTACAACTATTCAACCTAGTAGTTTGTGAATGGTCATTCTAAATCATTTTATGGTGGAACCTCTCAAATAAAGAATTTTGGCGAACTGTAGCTTATAAAGAACGTGGTTAATCGATAGAACTGATAATTTTGAAATTTGTCTTGTAAAACCTAGACAGTAAATACCATTGGATTCGAGTTTAGAAAGAACGAATTATTGAAAGCTTCTGTTGACTTCACATTTTGTCGATTTCATCAATTCCTAAAATGTTCACTGTTAATCGTGAATTTATGACCAGTTAAAATTGTTTAAATGGCTACTAAGAATTATTTATTGACTGATTCATACGATTTTGGGTATTAACATGGAGGCTATAATTAATCAATAGGAAAAGTCAATTAGAATGACATTCATGTTAGGGATAAATATTAGACAGACAGATTTGATAGACCAGTAAAATTCATGTAAACAAAAATTTTTGTACTTCTGATAATTTAGAAAAAAATTCTTCCTCCCTATTTGTTTTATAATTTCTCACTCGTTTCGTGCAGAAATAAAACTGTTCAATAAATCAATTTCAAGAAATACTCCCATTTTATAAATGAGATAATTTGCAGTTTGAGCAGATACACGTCCTTTTTCCGTCGGTCTTTCATTAAACTCAGATTTTTAACTCCAATGGTTTACACTAAGAAATATCTATCTATACATTGCGTGAATATAAAATTTTGAAAAGTGAAAATCATGTGTAGAACTAACTAGACTGAGTCTTAAAAAGTACTGCCAAATAACTAACATTACACAACCTTACAAGTGTCAAATATAGTTAATTGGTATTTAAAATAGTAGGAGATGAAGACGAGGTTGAGGTAAATAGGAACTGTACACTCAATGACTGCTGACACACTTGCACCTCCCTACAGATGTTACTCTACCAATAATTGAAGAGATCAGCATGGCCATCAGACAAATCAAGGGTAAGATAACAGCAGTACCAGGTAACATACCAACCGAAGCACTGAAGCCAGACATGGAAGTAACTGCAAAGGCGCTCTAAGTCTTATACAGCAATACTCGAGATGAAAAACAAGTGCCGACCGACTGCAGAGGACCACGATACGACGATACAGTTATGTCAGGATATTGTTTAATTGATCTAACTTTGTTTCACATTTGTCGGCAAGAAACCTATATTCAATTTGTGTTTGAATGCTAGATGATTGAAGACAGTCAAAACGAACATCCGGACTCTGGTTTTGTGCGTGTTATGATATCTCTCATTACGACCGAGCTACTCTTATTGCTTAGTATTCTTTGAACACTTCACTCGAAATGTCCCCAAATCAGAACGCAGATGAACAGGAACGTAATGGTATTCCAACCAAACGCGATCAAATGGAATTGTTAATCTTAATAAGAAAAACTTCAATATATTCATAATTTAACACAAGAGTACTCTAGAGTTTTCTCCAAGTATCCGCTAGCGCTGGTTGGTTGAAAAAATGACTAATCAGCCTGGCACAGGGCAATCCTAAACGGAACATGTGTTAATCCAATCCATATCTTTCTAACAGAGCTCTTCAACACTAGTCGTAGAGACTTTTATGTAATCCTAAAGGAAATAACATTCGCCAAAGGATATGAGCGTGCGTCAACCAGTGTCATACAAATAGTAACACTAATCTATTCAAACTCCGCCTGTAGACCCTCTGGGGGCTACTGCCTGTCCCAAGCCCGGATAAAAGAGGAGGGTTGAGCATGAAGTTAGTGACCCCATCCCGTAGAAAACTAACTCGCTAAAAAATGCTAACTAGAAAAAATAATTCAAACCATTTAGGCTCTGTCCTGGGAGTCAGAAGGTCTTCATCTAGAACAGTTATTACGCCTCATGGCGAAAGCCGAGATTCTTCGGAAGCAACGGGGTCGATGCCTCTTCTGACAACCAGAACAACAATTTTTATATGTACATGGAATGTTCGGACAATGTGGGAGACCAGGAGAGTTATCCAAGTTGCTGCAGAAATAAAGATACAATCTGAAGATGCCTGAAATCCGTGAAACACATCGGACGCAGGTTGGACAACAAAGACTAGCTTCAGGAGAGCTGCTGTTATACTCCGACCATGAAGAAAATTATCCACATACGCAAGGCGTTGCACTGATGCTATCCAAACAAGCACAAAATGCACTTATAGGATAGGAATCTCATGGACCCAGAATAATCAAGGCCTCCCTCAAAACAAAGAAAGAGGGCATTACAAGGAACGTCATCCAATGCTATGCGCCTACCAACGATTACGATGAAGACGTTAAAGATCAATTCTACGATAGGCTGCAGTGAATCGTCGAGAAATGCCCAACAAAAGACTCGACCATTCTGATGAGAGACTTAAATACCATGGTTGGGATGGACAACACCGAATATGAAGACATCATGGGACGACACGGACTAGGAGAAAGAAACGAAAATGATGAGAGGTTTGCAAACCTATGTGCCTTCAACAGGTTGGTCATAGGCAGCATCATATTCCCACATAAACGCATACACAAAGCCACATGGACTTCACCGGATCACACTACACAGAACCAAATCAACCATATCTGCATCAATAAAAAGTTCAGAAGGACGATGAAGGATGTGAGAACCAAGAGAGGAGCTGATATAGCCTCAGATTATCGCTTGCTGATCGCCAAGATGAAACTGAAATTCAAAAAGCATTGGACGATGGGGTGGACAGCATCACAAAAGTTTAACACGGCATTTCTTCGAGATACTGACAGACTCAACGAATTCAAGATAGCCCCCAACAATAGGTTCTTCATGACCTACTCAATGGAGAGGGAACTACTATGGAGAGCAACTGGAAAGAGATCGAGGAGGTAATCACTCCAACATGTCAGGAGGTTCTGGGCCACACGAAGCGTCATAACAAGAAATGGATCACTGTCGATACACTGGATAAAATTCAAGAAAGAAGGAACAAGAAAGCAGCAATCAATATCAGCCGAACAAGAGCAGAGAAAGCCAAGGCACAAGCTGAATACACAGAAGCAAACAAGCAAGTAAAGAGAAGCATCGAAGCCAACAAACGTAAATATGTAGAAGATTTAGCAATGACGGCGGAAAAGGCTGCAAGAGAAGGAAACATGAGTCGAATGTATGATACAAAAAAGAAGCTCTTTGGAAATTATCGTAAACGAGAACGACCAGTGAAAAGCAAGGAAGAGAAGGTAATCACCAACATTGAATAACAGTGAAACAGGTGGGTAGAGCACTTTAAGGAACTCTTGAATCGACCAGCTCCACTGAACCCACCCAACATCGAAGTAGCACCCACGGACCTACCAATCGATGTTGGCCCACCTACAATCGAAGAGATCAGTATGGTCACCAGATAAATCAAGAGCAGCAAACCAGCGAGACCAGACAACGTTCCAACAGAGGCAGTGAAAGCAGATATAGCAGATACTCAACATTCTCTTCAGCAAGATTTGGGATGAAGAACAAGTACCAAAAAACTGGAAAGAAGGACATCTAATCAAGATACCAAAGAAGGGCGATCTCAGCAAGTGTGAGAACTATAAAAACGCCACTCTTCTCTCAATACCAGGAAGTCTTCAACAGGGTTTTGTTAAACAGAATGGAGGACTCTGTAGACGCACAACTTCGAGACCAACAGGTTGGATTCCGTAAGGACCGATGATGGACTAACCAAATCGCAACACTACAGATCATTGTGGGACAATCAATTGTATGGAATTCACCACCCTACACCAAATTCATTGACTACGAGAAAACATTTGATAGCATAGACAGGACAACACTAAGGAGGCTTTTTCGACACTACGGTGTGCCTGACAAAATGGTCAACATCATACGGAATTCTTATGGTGGATTGAACTGCAAAATTGTGCATGGAGGACATCTGACAGACTCGTTCGAAGTAAAGACCGGCGTCAAGCAAGGTTGTTTACTCTCACCCTTTCTCTTTCTCCTGGTGATTGACTGGATTGTGAAGGCGTCAACATCTGGGTGAAAGCATGAGATACAATGGACAGCTGGGATGCAGTTAGACGATCTAAGCTACACAGATGATCTGTCCCTTCCATTGCACACGTAACAACAAATGCAGGAGAAGATGACCAGTGTAGCAGCAGTCTCAGCATCAGTAAATCTCAATATACACAAAGGGAAAAGCAAGATCATCCGACACAGCACAACATGCACCAATCGAATCACATTTGATGGAGCTTTTGAGGATGTAAGAAAGCTTTACATATCTGGGCAGCATCATTGATGAACATAGTGGATCTGATGCAGATGTGAACGCGCAGACCGGTAAAGCAAGAGCAGCATATCTACAATTGCAGAACATCGGGAACTCAAAACAACTGTCAACCAACACCAAAGTCAGAATTTTCAATACAAGTGTCAAGACAGTACTACTGTATAGGATGGAAACTCGGAGAACCACGGAAGCCATCATTCAGAAGATATAGGTGTTTATTAACAGTTGTCTACGCAAGATACTTCGGATCCATTGACTAAACACTATCAGCAACAAACTACTGTGGGAGAGAACAAACCAGATTACGGCGGAGGAAGAAATCAGGAAGAAGCACTCTTCTCATATTTGTCTCCATTTCTCGGTGTAATGTGTTCTTTTGTCTTCCTCTTCTCCTTTGGCCTTCAGGATTCCATGTGAGGGCTTGCCTTGTGACACAGTTGAAATAAATTTCAACTTCCTTTGTTTTTCTTTCCAGATATTTTAACGTCTGGGTCTACTTTTGTTTGCTTTTTTGGTTTTAAATGTTGTATTCCCGAAAGTTTGTACAAAAATCTTTCACGGAATAAATTTTCTCTGAGTCAAAGAGAATTCCTTGAATTCCGCAGTTCACAATTTTTTCGGCTTTTATTTCTGTCTGTAATTCGTATAATGTCTGCGTTTACTTCATAACTTTTGTTTTTAAAATCAAAATATCACGGTTGAATGTTATTTACTTACATATGTATTTGTTCGCTGTTTTCAAAACAAGGTTATCGGGATTTTACCATGAATCATTTGTCTAGAAAGTTTGTAAATTTATACAATTCCGTCATTTCATAGAACAAGTACTTCCTTTTTGTTTTATTGTAACAAGTCAACGTAAAAATGGGTTTGAAAACCGTACGTCATTGAGACTAGAATTGTTCTGTAGCTTGACTACAAAATGTTTCTCAATCAGTAAATTATGTGATTTTCTCATTTATAGAGAACTTAAAGGTTTGTTTACTGATTTCATTTTCTTCACTTATCTGTCGATTCCCTTCGTGATTGAAATATTTCTATTTTCGAAAATAAGCTGTTCAGCTAAGAATTCAAATGACGTTTCATATAGTTGATTTTTTTGACAAATAATTCATTCAGAATATATGCAAGAACCATTACTCGGTGAAACATTACCTTCTGAATCGCAGGCACAACAACAAGAAGAAACGATCATACCATCAAAATCAGTCACTAGATTACGAGCACAAAAGGTGGGGTCTGGATCATATAAACCATTGGAACGTAGATGGATTTGGGTTAAATTTTTAAATGGACCGTAAGTTATAATATTCAAATAAAAATTAATGAATTTCCCCATTAATATTCACTGTTCCATAGTTTGAAGATGAAATGTAATTACTTAAACGCTTCACTATCTCTGATGTACTGATCAAAGCTGTCACCAGGTTACAGTACAAGAAGGCTATTAATATGGACTGGCTATTATGAGTGAGTGGACTATTAGTCTAGTCATCATCTCGGTCAACATGTTCTTGTTATTCTAGAAATCAGCGACTAAGAATGACGTGGGGATATTATTATTTGATTTTTGGGAATAAAGTTTGTCACATAATCTTGGTCTGCTTCCTCTTTACAGATGACTAGTCAAAAGTTATGAATGTGACAGTGACTGAATTGAGACCATATAGCATAACAGTTTATCAAGATATTAAAAGATTTGATTTACTTCTTTTACTTAGTAGTTTATCTGAGTAGGTGGTAATACTGTTTCCTAGATATAAAGCTCATTTTATAACCAAGTCTGAGTGATTTGGCAGAGTAACAAATGCTTCTTAACTTCATATGCTATCATGTCTATAAGAAATAAGTTGCAAAAGATTCACAAATTGAAGCTCATAAGTTATTTACGGATATTAAAAATCTAAATATTTCGTTGATTTTTAAGTAATGAATATGAAATTCTGTTTATTTTCTTATGATGTTGTTTATCTATTTTTTGAAAACTTCACATTTATATCCTCTTAAGTCACTTCCTATCCTAATTACAAGCGTTTGGTTTATAAACGTCCCAATTTCTATGGCCCTAAATCATCCGATATCTTGGGAAGGATAATGTAATTAATTGTATGTAAGGCTGTTACATTTTAGCACATTTGTAGTCAAAATGTGAGTTTTCATTTTTTTCAAAGTTTAGAATACGGTATTTAGAAGTTATACCTAATGTAACTTCAATGAAACTACATATATTTAGTCGAAATTTAAAATTATCACGGGGAATATTTCATATCTAGGATACTCTTAAAGGCGAACAACATCGAACAAGTTTCCCTTTCTTTTAAATGTAATTAACGTATTTAACAACTGAAAGAAATCATAAAACCTATTATCACAATTGGTCTATAATTAATTGTTTATTTCATATGAGCTAACATACCTATTCGTAAGTGTAGATCAATGTCATAAATTTAACTAGGAATTATAAATTTTTCCTCAATATAGGTCAACTATGAGAGTTAAAATAAGAAAGGACACATTTTCTTCCCTCCCAGATATAAATAGAAGTTGAACGAAGAGAAATAGGATATCTAAGAAATAACTTTTCATTTTTAAAATTTAACCGAACCAACTTCGCCAATTTATGTTTGTTAGGGAAACCCCTTGCTTGGACTGAAATACCAAATAACCATGAAAATAAGAAACCAGCCTGTCCACAGTATTCGAAGTCGACATGAAATAGTGATGCACAAGCAATTTGATAACAACCTGACTACTCAATATAATATAAACATCAAAAGGATAATTAAAAGAGAGATCGTCGAATCACTTAACAAGTGTAATATCTGCAGCATGTCAAGTACTCACACCAAACTGACTCTTTTCAATATAAACCAACCAAGCGATAAGTTTGGGTAGATCAACGATAGTCAAGAAACCAATATTTCCTGTAAAACTCAAGAACTTCCAAGTTCAACACAAAGTAATGCGTGAATATTTATTCCAGCAAAATAGTAAATTTGTCAATAAATATAAAAAATGGAAAAGTATTTCATGGCTTATCATATCTGAAATAGATTATATCGTTCGATGCTAATGAAGATTTAAAGCTCAGGCAGATTTCATTGAAATTATGTTTCCTAAGCTTGGTATTTCAATTCCAAAGCTTTAATTTGCTTTCTAGACAAGATTATAAGCAGGAAACTTGGGAGTTCGTCCTGATGATGCTGTCTGAAAAGAAAATGAAAGTGTGACGATTAAACCGTTTGGCTCAAAAAACACAACAAAACAGACTATGTCAGTATTTTTTTAATTAGAAAATTTGGCTTTTTGACTTCAAGTAATATAATTCTACATGGCCAAATTATATTTTTTAATCGATTAGCCAATCGATTACACACATTGATTGTACCAGTGTGGTGTGGTCTACTTATATCCATATAAGTAGTATATGGTGTGGGTCAGACATAGAATGTATTTTCGCAGAAGACCGATGAGCAAAGGACTGAAATGAAGCGCAATCGTTTGCAAAATGCATGAGCAATGGAATAAGAGAAGAAACAGTGAAGATTGAAACAATTGGTTGTTAATTTGCAAATTGACTGTTCATTGTTTGGTTATCAGAATTTACTGAGATAGTCTGTAATCTTTGCTTAAATACATTCGATTGTCCCCAACCAGTGTTCTGTTCACTACACCAGTATAAAATTCATTTGCCAGTAATTCATTAAAGAAATGGAACTATATCATTTACTCAATTGAAAAGGACAGTTTCAGAAAATTATTAACACAATTTTAATAGTAAATTAAAATGTTAATAGATCAGTAATTTAGTAGAAATTTACATACACTCGAAACGATTTGATCCTAGTTACTTGATTTTATCTTTACTTTTTTCATTTCATTAGAATAACCAATCAAGAAGCACAACTCATTTTACTTAAAATATCACATGATTTAAAGCTAACATCTCCAATTTCATTTTTTTTGTAAGTTTTAAACCTTTTGTTTTCCTTAGTTATTTAATGAGTATCCATTTATCATAGTTGAAATCATGAGACAATTGAAGCTAGACCACCATCGAAAACCTGGAAGCATTGGACGGCCGTTTCGTCCTATTATGGGACTCCTCAACAGTGCGCATCCACGACCCCGCACTCGCGAGATTCGAATCCAGGACCTACCAGTCCCGCGCCACAGCACTTAACCGAAAAATACTGAAATCTTCACAAAACACCTTCTGAGTATCCATTTTGTTTTATTCTTATTATATTATACTAGTAGTTTATGATTAATTATTATCATTACTTTCTTCTATTGTCAAATATATAATTTACACTATGTTACTTGAAAGTTAAAATAGTGAATATTTTTTAGAGTTTACAATTCATTGATTGCATCATTTCACTCCAAGATAAATGAAGAAATTAATATTGAAATAAGCATTACAGGAGAATGAAAAGTAAAACCAAACTTTATTTATTTGATTAGTTCGTGTAAATTTTCTATTTTATTAAAAAATAGCTTTCACCATGGACCAATGTTATCTGTAAGATTTATATCTGAAATAATTTTAGAGATTGAAATTCAAATAGTTCCAAAGTTTCACACGGCTAACTGTCCCGAGCTTTTCTAAAGGGATAATTAGTTTTCACATTGATTATCGGGCGGAGATTTAGAATCAAATAAATTTTATTTACTGAGAACTTTTCAAATTCTGATAAATGTTCTTATAAAATAGACTTTTATTCGGAGAATAAACTTGTTCTATACTACTCTGGTTTTGTTTAGCACAAAACGTTTTATTTCTGAAGTTGGTGGTCTCTAATTATAAAGGGACCAGAATTATATTAAGACTTATCATCCTGGTTCATGATAAACTTTTGAATACCTATTAATTGAAACATCAAATTAGTCTCTGCTATCTTTTTCTACATTGTCGTTCTCTACGATTTTCTTTAACAAATTTAGCTTTGATAAATCGAGACGTGTATTATACTTTCATGTTCCATCTAGTGCTGGAGTTTCCGCTGATACTATTGTTGATGCCCTTAGTAAGCTAAAGCAATATTTTTTAATGATTATTATTTCATTCTGTTCATCATGATAATATAAAATTAATTTACATAGGATATTTTGTAAAAAAATATTGATGTAATTAAATCGGTATGAAGAACTCCATGTTTTGAAAGGAAAATGTAAACAAATCGAGAATTAACAGTACAATGAATGATAATTATTTCAGAATATGTACTAGATTGCTTATCAGCATCTCTAAATGTCAGGAAATCTAATACTACTTCTGAATTAAAACAAGCGTGAAAAATAAAATCTGGCTGATTAATGCGTTACAAAGATTATTGTTCGCTAACCTATTTAGATTATTAGCGTTTTTCTTCAACGACTTTTTTCACTTACTCGTAAAGATTTGATTTCTAGCAATACATATGGGACATTTTAAAGTTTTTGTTCATACTACTACAAAAGGTTGGTGATACTAAAGATTTTGATGATCCGCAGCTGATAAGATTACATGTCTGACTAGTTAACTAGCTATCTAACTTCGTATGGTATTTTGTACGTCACAAACATAAATTTACTGATTTCGTGAAGAAATGTCTAATTGCGGCTTAGTTTATTTAATTTCACTTAATTTTAAGGTAGACATCTATTAGACTGGTTCCTTTCCTGGAATCAGTAAAATATTTTATCATCTATTAAACTTCATTTGCACCTTACTAACTCACTATAATCAAAGCCACACCTTCAGAAACAAGATTTTTATAAAAGGGTTACCTTTTTGATTTCGCTTTTCTCGTGCCCCTGTAAAAAAGATTGAAATTTATTTGTCAAGTCAATAACCATTCTTTAAAGGAAAGTTAAATCACTGAGATGGTTACAGATTCCTAATTAATAGAAATTTCCTGTTTAACATTTTATGTAGACTTAGATTTAGTTGAAATATAAAATGTATGTGACTGATTTACGTACTATTGTCTAATAAGTAATATTACCCAGTGGATCTTGTAAAATGAAGTGAATATCTTCACACAATAATGTTTGGAATAATACTAAAAAGTTGATGAATAGAGTTGAATGTACAATATGTCGTTTGCACCGTGACTGGAGATTTTGGATCAAATATTCATACCAACTAATAGAAGCGATTTAGCCAGAGCGAGATGCTACTTGAATACAAATCACTATTGACCTTCTACATTTATTCTAGTTTATTAGAAAATAATAAGATATGTCATTCAACTGAGCGAAAAAACGAAATCCAAGTAAGTCCTGGCTATTATCTCAAAAGATGATCTGATTTCTATGGAGCCTAGTGAATATAAGTTTCATCGTGGCCACAGTATTGGAAAAAAGTAATTGCTTGGCTTTAATCTTCGTCTTATCCATATAGATTTGTAACTTGGAATGTATTTGCTGATTTAAACCATTTTATTAATGAGAAAACAATGTATTGATCCAATATTATGTACTTGATTATCACCAAATCAGAGATTCTTCATTGAAATTGCAAATTTCGGAGTATTTAAACAAACCTATATATCTGTACGTATGTTACTGACAATATCAGGTAGTTAGAAATAATTTATAATTTGCAAAATACCTTTGTACGGCTATGGTTCGTTATTAAACTAATATGAATGGTCTCCAAACAGTGATGCGTTTTAATAACATATAAAATAAATACTTGGTTCTGACTTTATTAACTTCGCTACCAATATGAAGGTGTTTAATTTTTGTGATATGAGCTATTGAGTCTTACAAACTAAATAAGAGATACTTCTTAAACAGATTTCACATGATTTTGTCCACTTCATCTAAGAATAAGGATGATTTTAAGCGAAAGTACAAGTTGTTCTATCAAGACACGAAAATGACTGAACCTATTAGTAGAATAGTTAGGGTCTGATAAAACAACGCTAACCACTTATTTAAGAGAACAACTGTCTATAAGTTCACTTAGTATTGTTTGTTTGGATCTTCCCATCGATGTGTTTAGGACTGCAACTGGTCAGTCTCTAATTGGCATATGTGCATACTGTGCGTATTGCCTCGATATACCTTAATTCACAACTGTCTATAAGGTTATTTATCCTCTCAGTATGATAGCTGTTCCCAGAATATTAGTCAACATTGAGACCACTATTAGTTATTGTCATCGGGCTTATAGCTTAAGCCAGAATTTTAAAAAAATACCTACATAATTAAGAAAATATAATTTGTAAAAGTGAAAATGGATTCCTTAAATACATCGGTACCCATCTTGATGTTATTGATATTAGTAAAGTATGAGAAAAATGAGGTGAAAATTTTGAACCAAAACCTTTAACATCTCGTACTTTTTCGAAGAAAAAGCGAACGAATAAAAGTATAAGGTATAAAAACAGCGAAGTTAAGCCTATTTCTACAAGTTATTTCCAACTCAAGGTTAAAATTGACAATTAATATGAATATTGTATCTGAAATTATGCAAACAGTCATACTGTTTACCCGCCATTTTAAGATAATATAAAGTAGAAATAACTGCTGGAAAGCATACAAAAATTTAATTAGCTTATTTAGTGAGGTTTTTTCTATTTCAAGTTGTGCGCGAAAATGGAGAGATAAACTGTTAAGGCGGGAACGCATTAGGTATTTATTTGCAGTCCACAAATCAGTCACTATTTTCCTTTTAGCCATATTTAGATTTTAAGTTCATATTTTTTTAAGTTTTACATATTTGCTTTCTTTTCAGATACAAAGATGAATTCAATAGATGGTTATTCAATTGAAGATGTTGGGTTTGGCCGTGGAGTAAGCTTGAACTTATTATTCTTTTCAATAAAAATTGATTTCATACTCTATGAATTGCTATTGAATAAGAACTGAGTATAACACTATTCAAACATGAGTAATACTGTTTATGTTAAGTGAGTACTTGTTTACAGTAGTACATATTATGCTAGGAACAAGTTTTGTTAAATTGACAAACTGATACAAGTTAAGCACTAATTTTAATTAGTGAAACGATATCGAACTTAAAACTTGAAATAGTAAATCAGGGTCGATGTGGAATGTGAAACCAAGTCAACCAATTCCATAAGTTGTAAATTCACAAATGTATGTAGACGATTGTTTAAAAGTGGTGACATAATTTGTTTGTCATCAATAATAGTTTGTCGAGAATAGTAAAAAAAATTTTTAAACTCCAAATGTGTTATTATAATCTAATATAGATATTCATAGATCTGGAGGATTAATTAAGAATACCAAAAATAGTTAGCTAAGAAACAACATACTATCAGTTCAGTTGTATAATGTAGTCAGAACGTAGTTCCGAATCGTGAGTAAATCTACTTGATATAAATTGTTACCAGCGTATATTGAGGGAGTTGTTCGTAAATATGATCATTAGTAGCTTTATTTTTTAAGGGTTTAGATTAGTCCAATTGGTCTATCTCTACAAATTATGAGAGTAATATGCTGTGCACTATGAATATATTCAATTTATCAGTACCGTGCGAAACAACAGCGAAATTATTTTAATGCATTGTGGTTCTAGCTAATTCTTACTAACTGAATGTAATATTGTTTTATCAGCTAATTATAATTTTAATGACCTTGGGCAAGTTGTTGGATTAATACAGTGATATAAAATATAAAAAGAAATAAACATGTAGGCCGTATACATGTCATTTGGACCTTTTATCTTAATCCGTCTCAAGATGTGTCAGATAAACCTGAATCATTAACATGCAACGTCCATCAAGGTTTGTTTCTTCGATACAAAACATTTAATGCTGATTGATCACTGAGTAGGAAACAATGTCACGCTTGTCTGATCCTTTATTGCTGATCGAATTCCATAAATTAAGTCGTACTGTGGCCACTAGTTTAATTGACTTGACATCGTGTGCACTCTGTTGAGGTAATGGATAGTTGAAGGTAATTGGCAGGAAACTCTAGACCTAGCTTTAGTGCTAGTTGGCACTCGTCATGGTTCTTGTACGGTTCGAATCCTCGACAGCCATCTTCGAAATCTTAGACGCTACCACTAAGCCACTCAGCCAGATTAACACGAAACAGTGTCCGCAGTTTCTTACCAACTACCTCTAACAACAAAAGATTATTAAGTAATTGAATATCCAATAGTTACTTTAATAAATGTCTGAGTTGTCACATTTCCTTTTGAAAGGAAAAACATGAATATTATCACATTGTTTGTTCCCTCTTCTTTCAATGACTTTTTGCCATTTCTTTTTGGCGGAAAGGCTGTGAATACAGTAAATACACATTCCAGTACAAATGCTCCTACTGAATCCCCCCAACCGTCGCTTCTGCATCGTTCTTTAGACGATGAAAGTTTAAAAAAAACTGGCCAAGTTAAATGGGAAAAATATACAATGACAATAGTTCTGTGTTCAACCATACTTACTGCAGTTGTTTTACTTACAGCAATTTATATAGTTCAAATCTGTCGAACAAAGGTAATCAGTTTAAAACATGAAGATTTAATGTAAAGTTGTCCATTTTTCTGTATTTGATGAGAAAGTATTTCGAATGAAGAGCTGAGATGTTTGCAAATTCCGTGAAGAGTTCACTGAAAAGTTAAGTAAAATTAACTCGTATAATAGTTGGAAAGCAAGTTATGCTTTAAAATACACCTCAATTGTGTACACTAGCGAAAGCTATGTTGGGAACATCCTACTGAATGATTAAAAAAAGTTTAAAATGATATCAACCTTTAAATAGTCATAAATTTGTTGGATAGCTATTATTGCAGCTCATGTTAGTAACACTATTTAATGAAAGCTTACATTTTGAAATATTATTGTTATGGAGAAAACAGTTCACAGTGTCGGTTCCAATCAAATTTTTGCTTATAAGAATGATCTTATTACAATTCATTGCCAGCAAAAAAATAGTAAAGAGGGGATAATTAACTTACATCGTTTTTGAACCAATTATCAGCTTATATTCCTCACTGTTTCCAGATTTCAGAACATTTCACTTAGATATTATATTGATCTTATATGATGGAGTGATATTTTAAATGCAAAACTAAACATATCAACCGAAGACTTATCGAACCATCTAGCTTACCCAAGTGAGAAATGAGTAACACGAACCCTCTATCATGATAATCAGGAATTACCTTCATGGTGGATTTCTAAAGTAATCAAAAGCTATCACTCATTGAATTTTAAACCATCTTGAAGTTGAGAAAAATAAAATTAACACAATTGGATAATTTCTGGGCTATACTGAAAGTGCCTATGAAGATATTGATCACTCAGTTTCCGCCTGATAATTTAAAAATATCATGATTTACTTAAGATCCGAAATTCTAAGGCTGAATTCTGTGTAGTGTTGGTGAATTCTAACATTAATATAGTCTATTAAACTAGAAAATAGGCAGTTGTTGAATGATACTTTGTTTACGGGATAGTTTAAGTGGGAGTGTACATTCAAAACCATATGATAGGGCTGTGATTGCAGCAGAGCAGTTGTTTGATCGTACTCTCTTTCTCTTTGGACTGATTATTGATCAATTACATTTGTCAAATGATTTTATTTATTTACACAAATCAGTAGGTATTTGGAAGGACTAATGCATATGGAATGAAATTAATTCACTTCACTTCATGATGCATATTGTTTTTGCCTAAAAACGTTTTTCAAAGGAACTAACTTCATGAAACTGTAGATTACAAAGCTACTAATTAATAAATCATGTAAATTGTGTCTATTTTCAATTGTTAAACCAGTTTTCCATTGATAGAAGTTCAGAAATTTGTTAATTGTATATTAGGACTTTAAGATATTGTTTCTTGAATTGCGTAGAAATACTCTTGATAGTAACTGAAATAGTGGGAATTCTATAAAAAAAAAGATACAATAAACATGTGTTTTTATAACGATAAAAATATTGACCAGTTAATGTATACAATTTTATGATCATTCAACATTTAAATTTATGATTCTAGCGTAAATCTAAAAGTGAATCAAATGAAAAATTATCTTGTCAATCAGATGATTCACCTCATCTAGAACGTAAAAAGCTTTCACATAACAATAACCTGTCTGGATCTCAACAAAGTAGTGTTTCATCTTGGTAAATAATTGTGTTGTTTTAAATTTATTGTACATTTCATAAAAATATTTTTAGTGTTCTCTTGATTTTACAAAATCTCATCTATCTAGATTTGTGACAAGCATAAATGTATAAAATAACATAGAATACATCACAAAATTACCTTCAGATTATCTAATCACCAGTATTTGGGGGCGGCCAGACCAAAATGTGGCATAAATCCATGAATGCGCTGACAAGTGGACTGAGCGATGTTGGTAGGTGTAGACTACCTGGTTGGGATTCTCGAGATGATAGCAACCGATGGTTAGAGACCTTGAATGACATGGCTCAAAATCGTTTGCAATGGAGAAGGTGCATCCACTCTTTGTGTTCTACCAAATTCTAATCTTCTTAATTCCTCATGTCGCTATCCTTTTTCTCTTTCCAAATTTATTTCACTGTATTATACTCCTTTAATAACATCTTCAAACCCTAATGTTTCACATAATGCTTATACTCTTACTACTTCTACCACTATGGGATTTGAATCGACAACTGCATCTCAGTGCTAATGTGATATGGCAACTTGAACTGATGTACGTACGTACGATGTTCTACGATGTGACTGACTGACTGAATCACCAGTATTTGAAAAGCCTTCATGTAGCTACATGTTCTATTGGTTTTTTTCTCTTTTCCTTAAATCTCCACTAACTCAACTAATCAGGAAATATTTAGACAAATTATCAAATCCCACACTAGTTTTTTCCTGATATTCATTTACTAACTGTGAATGTTAAAACTATTTTAGTGAATGTACTTATGGAAAATTATCATACCTATACACATGACATTACTTCCGTTTAATAATAAAAATAATGTTGAAGCAAGTAATTTAAACATACACTGATTAAATTGACTATGATAATGATATTAGTACATTCACTAACTATTTGCTATCACATGAATCAACCAATCTGTTAAAAGAAAACAGTATTTTAAATTTACGCGTGTGCTCAGTGCACATAAACAATGGTAAAAATAGAAAAATAACCTATGAGATTTAAGATATATGGCTAAATATTGACTAATTTTATTGATTTTTAAATGACAATCAAATAATTGGTCACTTTATTTAGACTATGCTTATACATACGTATATGATGTTTCCAAAAAAAGTTAACTGTTATAATGAGTAATGAAGCAAAATGAAACACTTGAAATACAGAATGATAAATCAGCGAACATTTTCAAGTCTATGAATAGTCGGACCTCATATATACCAGTTGAAAGTGAATTAATATTGTCTACAGATACAATGTGGGTTGTAAGACGTATGACCACAAATAATGAATGTAATACTCATGAATTACTACAAACATCAACTAATGAAAACACATTGGAACCATTTCAAAGCGCTGGGAAAGATTTATCATTTTCATACACAGATGTTTTCATGTTAAATAAGTAAGTTAGCTACTTCTGTGTAAACAATAAACAAATCAAAAATGGATAAATGTTCACTATGCACATATAAATTTCAAAATTTGATAATCGCATAGTCTATATTATGGATATACTTTTATAAAAGATTAAGGTGATTGGATTTTTAAAAAAATCAAAAGTTGAATCAAGTCATTTTTAATTTTCTGTCTTTATTGAATGCATAAAACAATTTTCATTAGTATTCACTATACCGCACTATACAATATGGTTTCTTGGAAAAATATAAAAATATTGTTAATTGTTATGTGATTAAAGTATCAAGAAATAGAGGCTAAAATGATCGTTCGGAAAATAAACGAATGAAGTACTTCCTGCTAGAAAAAGGCAAATTGAAAATGAAACGAATTTCCATCATTTCCAGGAAGTTGGTAGTTGCTGGAATGATTTGTAAAAGAAATTGATAATAAAAATGACTATAGAAGTCATTCTCTTTGATGAAATCATTTATAATCGTAATGCTATGTAATGTAACCTTTATTACTTATGATTTCGTTAAGTTTAAATACAAAACTTTCAAATTTACTCTAGTAATGCTAACTTGAGATTCACTGACTGTTCTTTTTCAATCGCTTTTACTTACTATAGCATTCTTATCAAGAAATCTATTCTGCATCATTACTACGATAAATCGCATCTATGAAATCATAAATCCACTTTACGAAATCCATTAATCCACTGATGTAAATAAGTGGTTTAGGTATGGTTTTAAATTTGAAAACTGGACAACTGTTTTATTTTAGTTTAAGAAACTTCTGATCTATATCTTAGGTTTGAATCAATTACTGCCGAACTGGAATTCTCTGTTAATATTTTCATTTTGACTAAGTTCATCTTCACTGTTTGCGTCAATTGGAATGAGGTGATGTATAACGACCTTGTTGTACGAAATGATTTTAGATGTCAAACAATCAAACCTGATTGTGGCACAGTTGTCATGCCCTTAGACATTAAATTCATTGCAAAAATGAATCAAATTTAGAAAAAGATGCTGTGTCCCTCTTCTTTACTAATCATACGAACCTGTTTTGTTGTATTTCTTGAATTGAACGGTTTTAAAACAATTTGAACATATACAAATCTGTAAACAGTGACCTATGTTATTTTGAAATGTCAAGTATATATACAAATCGTAAAGCATCGAGTACACCGCAATGTCAGTGGGATCCTAACTATAGGGAGGCCCGTTGGCGTGGTTTTGTTATGCGCTTTGTTCATGAGGGCTGGTCTACTCAAAAGCTCTGCCACATGTTCTGCCCATCTTGAATCTCAGTGAAGGGTTCATCTTCGTTGTTCCAGACGGGTCGCTCTTGTTTACCATGTTTCCCTGCTAGTTTCTTTATTGTATTATATAATTGTTTCATATTTCCTTCTCTTAGAGCTTTTCCTGTGTAATCATTTAGTCTTCCATATATTTCCGCTTATCAGTCTCAGTGCGCTTCTTCACTCGCTTGTTTGCTTCGGTCCATTTGGCTTGTGTATTTGCTTTATTTTCTCTTGTTTGGCTGCTGGTGATTTATGTCTTCTTGTGCTTTCTTTTTCGAATTCTGTTCAGGCTGTATACAGACATCCATTCATCATGGTAGTGTTTCCTCTGAGGCACAGCACCTCGTGGTACATTGAAGTTAGTGCTTCTTTGATCCTTTTCTGGTTGTTCTTCATAGTGGTTTCCTCATCTAATAGGTCCTTACTTAAAGCTACCTTGAATTCGCTGAACTTTTTAGTACTTCGAAAGAAAGCTGCATTGAACTTTTGTAGTGCTGTTTGTTCATTTGTGCAGTGCTTCTTCAGCTTCAGTTTCAACTTGGCCACTACCGCTGATGTATATATATATATATATACTGGTTTTTGTAAGAAATTTTGATGGAGTTTTAAGTCAGTAGAAAACAATTATTCACTGTTTTTGAATGCTGAGTGGGAATCTTTCAGATTCAATTATTCTTACAAACAAAGATTCTTTGTTAGGGTCTTGTGTATTTTACTTCAACTTACCTATTACTCTAATCAGCTTGTAATAAATGTTACAATTAACTTTTGTGAAGATATTACACTTAATAAATATAAGATAAATCGGATGAATTCTTATCTTTAATTGAAAATGATTGATAATATTACCCAATGGGTATAAGTCAATTTCACTATTTGAAAAATTAAAAAAATAATTGTTTTTCTTTCTGTAAATTAGTACATAAAATTAAAATAGTATATTCCTTTGTTGAATTTAAATTAATCAGGTCAAGTGAACCAATCCCATGTAGTATTGATGTTCCAACTGGACATATAATTTTAGTAAGTTCATTATATTACTTATCTGTTTTTTCTTCTAATACTTACTAAATGTTTCAAAACTGAAAAAACGTTTTTTTGTCAGATTGTTTGTTTTTTACCTTGTTATAATACTTAAGGTTATCCAGTTTTGTATCTATGATTATAATTTTAAAAAGGCTAGCAGATTCACCATTATATTAATCTGATGTGGGGAAATAAGATTCAAAAAATTTTACATGTGCTCTATGATGTTTCGTTTTTCGCGAATCACAGTGAATCTGTTGGGGAATTTACCACCGTATCCAGTTAGAAAAATTGCCGAAAGCAAATATTGTTTAACCATATATGATATGGTTAGCCAATCAGAAGTAGCGAAGTGAGAAGGTCCATCGATGGCGATCAAAAGTAATCTGAAGGACAAGTGCACAACATCGGCTAGGAAATGAATTGATTTTCAAAGGGGTATATATATATATAATGGTTTCTGAAGTAGTTGCTACCGTAGTGAGGCAGAATTTTCCATGATAATGGGCAGTGTACTTAGTTCGGTTGCCGAATTCAGTGATCGAGTGACAACATCAAACCATTTTTTCGACTGAGAAAGATGTTTACTGATCATAACGCCTACATTATTAAGAAAGATTATAAAAGCTTTGTTTCAATTAGTGTAAACATGGTCCGTAGTTTAGATGCTTTGAAAACTTGTTATTTCTCGGTCATCATATATCATATTAACTTGGCTTTTTGACCATTTACTGTTACGTCTGGCCGATTGTGCACGCTATATTTGCTTCCCTAAGCTAGTCCCGTATCCCCGAGCTAGAACTATACAGCAACTTGAAGACCAGAGAAAAGGCACAAAGTATGAGGGAAGCGCTTTACTACAGGATTCATTTATGTACAGAAAATACAGGGGTTTTATAGTAATTAAGAGACTTTGAGTTTCCATAGTAGCAGTGTGTTAAACAGCCAATCAGGATCTCGTTATTTTAGTAGCATAGCTTCTAATTAATCGCTGATTGGTTGGGGCTCTTTATGAGCCTCTGATAGAGTTTACTGTCAGCCGACTTAACACCTCCCCTTTTTTTGAAGAAGCGGGGTAGGTATCCAGACTGCATTTGCCGAATTCACCCTCCTCCACGAAACAATGTTGGGTCCCCAACTTCCGACATAGTGACGTTGTTGCAGATTGAATTTATGGAACGATCTAATAATTTCAACTTTTCTATCCAATCAAGTCCCAATAAGTCGAGTGCTGGCTTGTTTGTAAGATATGCTGTTGCACATGTTATTACCGCACCTTTAGACACAATGTAAGGTATTTCTCCAACAATATTTAACTTTCCACCTGATGCACTGTGTGCTATTTGTGTAGTTCGATGCACCGTGGGTCGCCCAATCTTCCAAGTTTCTGAACTTATTAAAGTAATATCAGAAGCAGTATCAAGCTGAAGTCCAGTGCGGTGTTTATTAATATTCAGAGTTACGTACTTTCTCTGGCGGCAACTTCGAGCTTTGTTATGAGATACCAAAATTGTTTTCGTTAATGCCCCAGACCTGTATTTCTTGAAGTAAGATTTTGCAAAATGTCGTTTATAGTTTCTTTTTCTGCAGCTGGTTTCTATATGGCCCTTTCGATTACACTTACTGCAACAATGTTCTTTATACGAGCAAAACCTCTTATAGTGCCAGCCTCCACATTCCCAGCATGAAGATGATGGTTTGTCTCCGTTATTACGATAATTAGGTGTGCTGGAACCTTGCACGACTTTTCTCTCAACAGCATTAACGTGGGGGAACTGGTTAGTGTTTTCTACCATCGAGGTATCGTGCTTCAAATTCACTAACCTTTGACATTCATTAGTCACTTCCTGCAGGGTCATGTTGGGACAATGCTCAAGTTTGCTTAGGATTCTCGTTCGGATGTCAGCATCCTCAGGTGAACGCAGGCTACAGACAAAAACTAAGCATTTAAACTGGTCTTCAAACATGGGAGACAACTTGAACCTCTCGCATTCTCGGTTCACAATAACTGTATGTTTCACCCAGTCATCTCCTGATTCTTTTGTTATCTTCAAGCACTGGTAACGGATATTAAATAGAGACGACTGTTCTCCAAAGATTTGAGACAGGGTTTGAATTGTTTCATCAAAACTAAAGTCCCGTGGATTCTTCGGAAGAATAAAGTTACTATAGCGTTCATGTTCTGTTGTCCCAAGCTTTCTTAGAAGCATTCTGACTTTTGAAGCGTCATCCAGTCTGCAGAGATCAACAAGGAACAAATCTTCATACTTCTTAAACCAAGAGTTAAAAGTGACACCTGCTGCACCATCAAAATTAAATTCATGGATTGCATTAATAACTGAGTCAGTATGAGATACTTGAAATTCACCAGCAGCAGAGTTTTGTTGAGACATACATAATTTCTGCATAAGAGCTTCCATGACTCTGATTTGAGACTGTTCAAACCGTTTTTCTTGGCGCTCCATATAAGCTTCAAATTGCTCTAAAGAAATACTCATTGTCATTTTTTTCTCGTCGCCACTGTTATGTCTTGTAGGTTGAACGCTATATTCAGATCCTAAGCTATTCTGATAACCCCAGGCTAGAACTATTCAACGACTTGAAGACCAAAGGGAGAAGACACGAGTATGAGAGAAGTACTTTACTACAAGGTTCATTTATGTACAGAAAATACAGGGGTTTTATAGTAATTAAGAGACCTTGAGTTTCCATAGTAGCAGTGTGTTAAACAGCCAATCAGGATCTCGTTATTTTAGTAGCATAGCTTCTAATTAATCGCTGATTGGTTGGGGCTCTTTATGAGCCTCTGATAGAGTTTACTGTAAGCCGACTTAACATTTACTTTGTTGTCATTCCATGTTCTGAAATTAGGGAGCTTAAACAAAATGTTTTACTGCATGTCCATTTGCATTATTGCTGTTTTTATGCATGATATGCATTCTTAAGGATCTATTATGGACTCAAGAGTAAGATAAAGACAAAATATAAGCGAAACGTTCCATCACTGAAGACAATTATAACAACACTCTAAAGTGATGGTAAAATTAATTATGTGTAAACACAACCGAATCTTCCAAGGTCTTATAGTTTGAGACTCTTCATCATTTTTTGGTAATGTCCGTAGCCCTAAGTCTGACTTGGTAAGAAACATTAATTTGAAATTTGCATTATCAAACAGTTTTCTTTACTTTTATGTAGTCATATATGGAAAAACATTTGCAAGATAGAAATCAACTCACAGAAGATTGGAATTCAATTGATAAGTATGTGTCTGAGGAAAGTATTTTGTATGAAGAAGGTAAAAATCCAAAAAATCAGTCTAAAAATCGAGGATGTGCACCAATACCATGTACGTTTCTGATTTAACTGTACTGTAAGTTCTAAAACTATATATTTACCAAGTATTTAATGAATGTTAATTTCTAGACATTTCACTTCCACAACAATAGGTTTTTTTATTCAGTCAAAATTGATATCTAGTCATCTCTCTCAGACCAGTTCTCGATTTTCGGGATTATACAAACAATTCAAGACTTTACGATTTCCTAATGAGCATAGCAAAACTGAGTCTCTGCTGTTAAGTCAAAAGAGCAGGCACTTTCGATTTAAGTTTTTTTTTGGGTTACATTACATGGCATTCATTATTTTTAACACTTGTTTGGTCATATTACCTGGATTATGGTAGTCTCTTAACTGGTATCAATAGAAAACTTTCAAGATTTAAAAATGATATTTCTGGACACCGTAACTTTTGACCACATATACTTTTAATGTGTTTTTAGATGAACAATCTCGAGTTAAACTTCGATCTGGCGATAACGATTATATTAATGCATGTTTACTGGTAAGCATACATATTATTACTGTAATTTTCATACTTTTGATTATTCAAATGACAATATTTGATAATGAGATTCACTGGGAACATATAAAATAGACAATTTTCAGAAGGGTAATGTAAGCTAGAAATAGAAGAAAGAACTAAAAAGTGAATTATTTTTATTCTGTAAGTTGTACTATTATTTCTTTTTAGAACCAACATTCAAACTCATCCATTATTTTCACATACAATAAAATCAGTAAATCAAGTGTACTAACACATGGGCATATTGTTATATACAAAGTGTATTTACTGCAGAATATTATTTTACCAAAATAATTAGTTGGGTTAATTGTCACCGTAAGATATGAACTGGAATTTCAACACCTAGACAGATAAATCCTGATAAGACTGAAAAAGACATCTAACGGTTTAAATTCTTATTTATAACTATACCATGAGTACCTATTTGAATAAACGTTACATGTCAAGAAACGTTACGACTACTGTAATTCATTAATTTGGTAGACAGTTCTCCATTAGGGCGTTTTTCACAATCGAATGTCAATATTATTAAATAACGAAATCATGTCAATTGTGCAGCAGTGATCAATAGTACCATAAACGTATTCATTCAAATATACCGTATTTTGATTGAGGAATTTTTTATTTTAAAGCTGTGCTGATTGTAGAGAATAGCGTAATTTCTTTAAACCACTTTAGATATTTATTCAATAAAATGTTTAAGGCGAAACCTATATTAGTAATAAATTATCTTCATCTCATTATAATGACTTAGGGCTTTCGAAGTTTAACATTAAAATACTCTATAGTACCATTACAAACTTTTAACTGCCAAGTTCTAGATGATGTTTCACGTAAACCTCCATGAGGTTAGTCATCTAAGATATTTATTATTTCATATAAATATAAATCTAGAAAAAATTTAAATGAACCATACACTAGCAATTAGTCTGATGTATATTTAAACTCAAGTAAGATTTAACACAAGGTTCATTAAATCTTCCGAACTAACACCGAAGTTATTATTAAGTTTACTCAACGATTCAAACCTAATGAATGAACTGTCAAATCCCGAAATCGAAACACAACTTGACTACAATAAGGTCCCGTTAATAATAATGACATAAAAAATCTATTTCAAAAGCCCCAATTATTGAGCTATTTCAGGTTTTTACTGGGTCAACGTTCAATCAAGGAAGATGTGATTCCTTCAATAGTTATACGGGAATCATTCACAGAAACTACAATGATGAATACCAATAATCGAAGCGAGAAATAAGTACATAAAATATGGGGACTGCTGTGAATAACTAGGTTTTCAAAGAACAAACAAGAAATTAAGAAGACGCATTTCTTAATTAATATTATGGGTCAGAACTATTATTAATGGTCAGGACTTAATTCATCGGATAGTGAGTGTCTTACAAAACTGATTTCTTCAATCAACTATGACATTTGATAATGTTTATTTTTCTATTAATAACTTGTATATGTTGACTTATCATGTTACTTCACCATTTAAAAATATATTCTAACTAGTTATCTTATGATTTGACTTCAAATCGTCCAGGGGTAGTGTAGGCTTACATCAATGAGGAGTCATCGTATGGCAGCTTATCACTCGTCGATCAACATTATTTTTGTTTATCTTTACAATCACGAATCAATTTTCTAAGTATCAAAGGAGTGATTACTAGAGGAATTATAAATGAATTAAATATCACAGGTTCGTGTAAATACAATGAAAAATCGTACAACAATCCTTGTCATCTGTATGCTCAAAAATGACTGACAATGACATTGGTTACTGAAAATTATTCAGTAATATAGTGCGATATACAAAAGGTAACCCCATGAAGGATATGACGATGAAAGGTACAAATTGAATTAATATTTATTGCACTGAATACAATATTTACGACAACTGAACTCAATTTCAATACAGTTCAGTAAAATTTTTAAACAAAATGGAAGCGTAATTCACAACGAGTAATTTCACAGACATTAACACATAGAAACATCAGGCTTCATGTCGTTATTAACTCAATAAAAGATTAAGTTAGTTACAGAACATTAACTTAAAATAACAATGGACTGAGACATTCAGTTGACTAAGGCGTTTTTCCCCGTACATTTATAAAATAATAATGCTGAGAATTCATTGAATTTTACTTAAATACTCAGATTATTTCATTTTATTTCTACTTAGTATGACACTAATCCAAGAAATCCTGTTTATATCGCTACAATAACTCCAACAGTCAAATCAGTTCCAGATTTTTGGTTAATGGTTTGGGAACAAGGATGTGTTGTAATAGTTTGCTTAGAACGTACTGATGAATTAAAAAGAATGGATGAAATTGATCAGTTTGAATTGAATGATGCTTCAGTGAAATATTGGCCTAATGAAGGTAGTCAAGTTTATGGTTCTTTTGAAGTAAGTCTCCCAAAATCACTACTCATTTTATCCACTATATTTAGACGGTATGATGGAATTTCATATAGGATTTATCTTATTAGTTCAGTGTTTTAACTTGTAAATTAAAACTCTTGGTTAAATTTTTAAAATCCTTTTGTTTGTTTGATAAGTCCTGTGTTCAAATTGATTCATGAACGGCATGTTGTCCTGGTGAATCAACCTTTTCCTTAACGATGAATACCTGATCAAATCATTTTGGAAAGGAAATACAAAAAACGCTTTGAATATGGATTTTTAATCCACTTAATAAAGTATAAAATTGAGTGTCTGGTTAGACTTATTACTGGCATCTAGAGGGACTTAAATATCTTGTTTAAGCACGAATTTTAACTAAACATCTAATGTGTTTTATGAAAGAGACTATTTCAAAAACATAGGAGGAATTCCACTATTCATATTTGATCGATATAGTTATTCTTGTATGTTGATGCAATCTGGATAGGCGAACCAAATACTTTCACACTGAAACAAACAGACTACTTGTAATAAACATGTTACTATGTTAACGTATAGTAGTTTTAAGCATAACTTTTGGGTTTTTAGATTTTTCTCATTTATGTAGTTGTAGTCACGTCTTTATCGAACATTTTACATTTATAGTCAAATTCTTCCCCCTTAGTTTTGTTGGAAATTATAAGCTAGTGAAATGAAACTAAACGTAATGCTTTGTCATAAGAAACACAGAACTATGGAGTTTCGGATATGATACAGTCGTTACATGATACTAATCACGAGAATTTCTATCTTTCGACAGGTACACCTGGTTTCCGAACACAGTTGGAGCGATAATTACATTATTCGTTCATTTTATCTTAAAAGCATTGTGACAAATGAAACACGTACCGTTACCCAGTTTCATTATCTTACATGGAAAGATGAGAATCTGATGGAAAATAGTAAGCCTATGTTGGAATTCAGACGGTAAGTTTGATTGTATTGAGTGATATTATTTACATCAAAAAGCGTTTGTAGAGGTATGATTGCTTTTCCATTAGGAAACGATTATGTGCAAAACTGTAGCAGGAATGAAGATAGAATACAACTTTTATCCAAACATAAAGTACCCAACAAGGGTAGTGATCAATGAGGAAGATATTCGACATTTAGTTCTTGTGGGTGTTAGTCATCGTTAAATTTATATATAGGTATCTAAAGATTTAAGTCATCATCAGAAGCCACACATAGAAGGATAGATTTGTTAAATCTGAGTAGTGTCTATTATTACTGTGATGTAGTTCAATCGTTCAACGTTAATGAACCCGCGAAAGATATAAAGGTAGTTGGTTCGAAATCAATAAGGGAGTAAATTTTCCTCGGAAAGTACGTTAAGACAATTTTTAAAATTTATGAAATAACAAGAAACTCTAGATGATTTGGGTAATCTGTGAATAAAATAATTCCATCATATCAGCTCCCAGGTAACATAAGTATTGAGTATGATACTTTCAATCAACGCAATTATAAGCCACTAGTCCTATACACTTGTATATTTCTATGGGTAAAACCTTTATATTTAAGTGAACAACTTAGAGACTGTTACTTACTGACCTTTAAAAGAAAACCTAATTGTTCATCTGTTTCTTTAAAACTCCAGGAAGGTCAATCGTTCATTCCGGGGAATAATGAGCCCTATTGTGGTTCACTGCTGGTGAGTAACAATCTTTCACCAAATCTTTTTAGTTATGAAGAATTCTACTGGCAGTTTCTCTTTACCACATAAAAAATAGCAGTGAACAATAAAATCTATGGTATTACATGCTAATGATCATAGATTTTGTTCTGATGTTTACTGAAATGTTTAAGATGAATTTATATTCATGAGCTGACGTATTAATAAACCAAGTATCGTAGTTATGTAAGTTGGAAGTCGAAAACCACGTATACCTGAAGTAACAAACGCGTTTTGTAATATCAGTTATCTGATACAATTCTCGTTCAGTTAGTAGACTAAAAATATAATGGTAAATACTCAGTAAGACGAAATATAATACTGAAAGGGACTAAAAAAATTAGCTTGATAGAATGAATAAAGAAAATTCCATACAGTAAACGTTACAAATATGTAATAAAATGGGGAATTATTGCACTAAATGAGTGAATATCAAATTTAAAATCAGGTTATTTAGAGTATGATATAACAGGTCAATCAGAATTAGCCAAATGAGGTCATTTGATGTCGATTAGATATCATTGAAGAGACAAATGCATACCATTGGCTAAAGAATACATTGATTCTTTAAGGGGGTAGAAATGTACATTTATATATAAATGAGTATTTATACATGTACTCGGTAGCCCAATAGACTTCCTTTCAATCTTATGTTCTAATTCAGTGGTTGGCTGCGCGTAGCACGGTGTGTATCAGATCAGACCTCCGAGACTTTCTTCATAACAAAGTTATTACCGTAATTTAGTTTCATATCTTACTAAGATTAATTGTGAATAACTGTTTTCTGAATTCAGTTACATGAAGTAATTTAGTACATTGACTAAAAGTCTTTTACAACAACAAAATAAAAGGGAGGTATAGGAATAACGAGAAAATTAACATAAATAGAGAAAAGGAAATAAACAGGTTCGATAGTCAAATGTGAAGAATGAATAGATTGACTATTTGGACTAATTCCAATCAAATAGCATACAGTTTCTTATCACTGTGTTGCTTTTTAAGCTTCGAGACTAACAACTGAGAAGTTTCTTTCATTCAATCCAACTCGGCTATCAGGCACAATTTAGTATATTTGGTTTTAAGCCACAATTCAAGTATGAGGTGTAGCGATGCCACCCAAGTGCCTAAACGAAGCGGCAAGGGATTCGATCTGGTAAAATGATGAATGAAAGTCGAGCAAATTGATTATTGAGCCACCTCTTTCCATTTCAGACCTTATTGTTCATTATGGTGATGAATGACAAGACGCAGATTGTTTGTCTAGGATTCCACTTATGAGAGTTAAGCTTCATCCATGATTAAATAAGTTCGTAAGAAAATAAATTTACAATTCCCTACTGGCTCACAGATGTAAATTCTATTAATTTTATTCTTAGTGATGGATGCGGACGAACAGGTGCCTATATTTTGTTGGATCTGGTCCTAAATCGTATCACTAAGGGTGTAAAAGAAATCGATATAGCTGCTTCACTGGAACATCTAAGAGATCAAAGGCCAAATATGATTAAAACATTGGTAGGTCCCCTATTTTTTGTAAAAGAAAAAAGAGAAGGGATTAGATAATATCTACATGAGTTCATTCCAATTCTTAGGTTTTAGATTCTAAGAATATGGAAAAATAATATTACCAACTAGGTGATACAGGTTTAGTTAAATGGTGTGTGCACGGATCTGTAGGCTTGATTTTTATTGGCTATTCTGAATACAAAAAGCTCCTTTCTGTTGAAGATACAGTTTTGTATTTTAACAGACGTACACAGTTTAAGGTGATTAGCTAGTTCTATCGTCAGTCTACTAGTTAAGAATCGAACTGCACTCAACCACTTAACATCAACAGAGTCCATTCAACATAGTGAACTTAGGATACGTGGAAATAATGTACAGAAAACTATATGACTGTTTCTATTGTTTTGAAACGAGTATCTCAGAAGAAACCTACCTGGGACAGTTAATCATATCGAGTTAATGAGCAATATACTTTCTCAGATCATGACAATTCTCTTCAATGAACTAGCACAACTGTGTGCTTATCCACTTAAAACCCTTACGATATGTTCTGTGATGTACAACCGATGTTGAGAAATATACTTATGTGAAGGCGAGATAACTTGTCCTTACGACATGGAACAACGAAGACGGATAACAGTCCATGATCTGATTTTTTTATCGGGACCTTAGGGCCACTGTGTGTTGCAACCACCTACCTGTACCTTTTAGTCATGATTTCCATGTTAATGTAGACATTTCATTACCTTCTTCAAGTTATGCACATTGGAAATCTTACTTATAGTTGATGACAAACCCTATGATAGTTTATATTTTGATATAGGAATTCTTCAATTTCCACGACCGATTTATATTACGAAATTTAACTGCCCGAACAGGTGCCAGATTCAATATACAAGGTGAAAAAAGTTGTTACAGGCATTCATATGACATGGCAGATTGGAAAACATATCGCAACTTGATTTAAACTAAAGCGTCTCTATATTATGAATGAAATGTTCTATGATTTGGTTTGAATTATATCACCTGAATGTTGTGTGGGACAAGCACATAACTGTGCTAACTTGCTCGTATGGAGAACAATTATTTTACTATTTAAGTATGACTAGGGACTTTTATTTGATAGCAATACTTCGTGGGTTTTTTTAAATTTAGGAACAGTATGAGTTTGTTCTCTCATCAACTGCTGAAGAAGTAGACGCAATGCTCCAACCAAGTACATGAAAAAAGACAGAATATCTTCAACAAAGTCAAGACAAAAAATTTACATTATCGTTTGATGTTACATTCAAATTCAATGAGATACATGTGAAATTTGTGAATAAACTGCAATGTCGAATCATGCACATTAAAACAACTCTTTTATTCTCAAATGGGTAATAACATTCTACCTGGATTTCAATAGTGAATTTAGTCATGGATACATGTACATTAAGAAAGTAGCTGTCATAGAGTATGAAACTTTATATTGCTATCGATATCACTTAAATACTTAACGATAAGAGTTTATTCGATTCGAAGTAACTAATGTGAGCTTCAAGTTAATATTGAGAAAACTTTTAATTAATTTATTCATGAAGTACTTATGTACGAACCACACTGTAAGTGTCAGGGTTAATGATACTATTCAGAGACGATTGAACCTGGGACTTAGTACACAAAAGTCGAGTGTCTTAGTCAATAGGTTAAAGCTTCAAGAAGCTCTCGTTTAGTGGGACAAACTATTACAATACACATATGCATTGGGAACACCTTAGCCATCACTGTGACGAAGTGTGTCTTCTATTTAGGACGACTTCAACCAACAAATACTGTTAATGTCCCTTAATTTGATCGGTAATAGGCATACTAATTTTAATCAAAATATCAAAACATTAACACAGGTTATAAGAGGAAGTTGTTTGACTCACTGATTCGAATGGTTAAAAGACTATTAGCACACTAAAGTTGCTGCTACTAACAATATTCTGCCAGTGCTATGAGAAGCATAAATATTCAAGATCTGGTTCCTATGATAGCTAGGTTAACCCAACCCGGCAATCGATATAACACCAACAAAACCATGACAGGAATTTTTTAAGAATGATGAACTAGATGTAAACTGACTTTGAGGTCAATGAGTCAGAAATGGTCACAGTTATCTTGTGGCCGTTGACAAATATTACGTGCCAAGTCACCGATCAGAATTCTGATTCTATTTTAGTCTATTTCGCGTCTATTATTTATTCTATATACCTTAATGTGTTTGATATGCCAATTACAAGCCCAATCACCACAATTGATCGTTAGTCAAAAGCTAAGCTCCTTTCGGTCTGCTTTCGCAAGCTTCTCTCCATGCCGTCATGAGTTCACGAGCAATCAGCTTCTACTACATTTATATTTTAAAAAAAAAACGAATTATATCCACATATACCGCACAGCATTACACTATAAAACAAAAAGTATCAATTATACACAAACAAGCCAGAAAGTGCAGGGAATAAGGGAGACTACATAATATGCTGGGAACAAAATAATATTATAACTCGAAAAACCAATTACTAGCCTAGTCATGAAAAAACACAGCTAGCACCTTAGAGACAAATTCTGTCGAACATACTACTACAAAAAACTGATCTAGTTGATTTGCTACTTAAAACACCAAACGAACAAATATGAGCAAGATACATCATAAATAATTGGACAACAAGTCATCAACGACGTATATAAACTAATAAATAATTGCTGGTTTACCGTGTTACTTAGTTAGTGTACTATTTAATGGCAAAGTAGAGTGAAGTAACAAACTATTCATTTGGTTTAGAGAAAAATTTCGTATTTACAACCTTACTTTTTCGATAAGTTTATATCTCAAACCAAGTCCTATGTAATAATTACTATCCATAACGGAAATATAGCCCCTGAAATTATCTTAACGGCTTGATCAAACGGACAATAAGATGGTACATTGAGGTAATCTATTAAGCTGTTTTGGTCCGGCTAGCAACAAAATATTCCTTATATAATTCACAACAGGAAAGAGGGAGATTGAAAACGAGTTTCCTTGTACCCCTATTAGGTGACTGGAATGTTGGTTTGTTTTTTAGTCGTTCATGTAATCCTTCAGTCAATCGCCACTGCTGAAGTTTTCACCTTATTAGAGCTATATCAATGCGCAAAACAAATATTCATAGACTCTGTTCGAATGCGTAGTCAGCTGGAGTTACTTGTGCGATTTATTTATCATACTTGGCTCTCATATTCGAATTAAGATTGAACAAAGAATTTTATCTAAGCTACAGAGCCCTTGAAATAATGTTATTGTATTTCACGCGATTAGAATAGCATTAGAGATATATTTATTCATAGACTTAGTACTATTATATATGCTTATCCAAAAAATGTACTTGCCTTTAGATATATATGTCGTTTTAAGAACTAGTGGCATTGAGCGCTACTGTGTATAACGAAAAGCCATTTCAATTACTGTTTACCTTAAATCTGGCTAGCAGGATTTAGTTGTCACTTTGACTGACTCCAGGTCAGTAAAATATATATCACCACCAATAATATAAACTGGGTAATGCCTAGAATAAGATATTTTCAATCACAAGCCGGATGACAAAAAACAAATAATTCCTTGGGTTACTACTACTAGTTCAATCTATAGAAACATAATCGCTTATATTAGGTCAAATAAATTAGGAACAAATGTTACCATAAAGTTAAATAATTTATAGGACGTACGTTAAATTATCTGTAAAATACAAAAAAAGACGAAGAATTTCAATACAAAATAAATAAATCAGTAAATGTACATTTTTCATGAGTTACAATTCTCTGTAAGATGAGATAACAAATCAAAGTCAACCGACTGTGCTATACTTTTAGCAATTTCTAAGCTTATCAAACAACGATATTTAGGATTAGCCAAAGGGTCTAAATCAGATGTAGCGTTAATCGAACTATTTGTTGTACACAATCCAGTAGTAAATGAATTCCCAACAGATAAAGCCTGTGAACTTGGAGATAAAAGACCACATGCTGTTAAACAGGCGATTTGACTCATTAAGATACTTGTGCATGGTACTTTTGCAAATTCATTTTGTACTAGGACATAGAATATTGCCAACAAGCGGTCTAGGGTGAACATTCGAGGCCCAGTGAACTCTGCTTGTGTCTAAAAAATACAAAGCAACATAGCTTTAAGCTTTCTACATAACAAAAATGGTCATTTTTATAGATAAATATGACAGGTTAAAAATCAAGTCAAATGCAGTAATATTAACATTAATAAATTCACTTTTCGGTATTAGAATGAAAATATTTAACAATTAACGAGTCATTCTGTTACGTAATGAGTAAATTTCGTTAAATTCAGGTTGAAGCACATGAGGCTTTGGAAGAAAATAATGACATAAATACTTACGCCTGTTACCCCTTGCGATGCACAGCCCGCCAACCATAAATCTTAAAACTACTCCGTCCGGTACTCTTCTTTTCAGTTGTGAAAGTAAGCAACCTTGCCTGACACTGGTCTTTACTTCGAACGAGTCTGTCAGACGTCCTCCGTGCACAGTTTTGCAGTTCAATCCACCACAAGAATTCCGTATGGTGTTGACCACTTTGTCAGGCACGCCGTAGTGTCGAAAAAGCCTCCTTAGTGTTGTCCTGTCTATGCTATCAAATGTTTTCTCGTAGTCAATGAATTTGGTGTAGGGTGGTGAATTCCATACAATTGATTGTCCCACAATGATCTGTAGTGTTGCGATTTGGTTAGTCCATCATCGGTCCTTACGGAATCCAACCTGTTGGTCTTGAAGTTGTGCGTCTACGGAGTCCTCCATTCTGTTTAACAAAACCCTGTTGAAGACTTCCTGGTATTGAGAGAAGAGTGGTGAAGTCGAAGGTTTTGCCTAATTTGACAAGGTTTGTACTTTGAGAGCTTCAATACATTTCGCTCCACAGATCCAGATAATTTGGAGTGCCGTTTAGTGAATGTAAATCCTTGTAACCAGCTCAACATGGAGATTAAATTTTCATCATTCATTTGTGATTGTAACAAGGTTGGATAATCATTCAAACATTACCGATGACCATATCACCTTCTTATCACCTTTTTATTTTGTTTATTTGAACACATAAATATTGGTACAAGGAAGCACCAGATATATATGCGCCTCACAAATCTCATTCGATTTGTGTGAGGGCTGTGATACTGCCCAGCCAACACCTTCAATCTATGAATTCAGAGTGCATTTGTTAAGGTCGATATCTTTTATGACCTCTACTTTTGTCTACAGAGAGACGATGGTGCTTGATAAAGTCGTAAATAAACGACGAGCTGACTGATAAACTGTCCATTTAAACGACACACATTAGTGATCGTGAGAACTACTTTTCAAAATACTATCACGCAGTTATGCAAACCAACATTAATGCTGGCAGCGTTATTAATGTATTAGTGAAGAACAATAACTCACTTTGTATACTTCCTTTTCCTGTTTCTTTTTACGGATACTTAAACGTCCGGAGTTCTAAATAGAATAATAAAAAAGAAAGCGAATATATATATATATATATATATATATATATATATATATATATATATATATATATATAGGTCAGGAAATGGAATTCGTAAATCGAAGTGCTTAATAAATTTTTGAAGTACTAATAAAGACGAGTGTTTAAAGGGTGTGGAAGCCCCAACATTGAGAAATTCAGGACAGAAAATACTTCTAGTTAAATTAAGTCAAACATTTTGAATTAAATTTTATACGACGGAAAGTAAAATCTGTAGTTACCTTAGTCAGGAGTTTTTTGTCCAATGAGCGGGGATTATGTGAAGCCATGAATGCAGCAATAAGTAAAAATCTAGTCAAATAAGGTAATTCCAAAAAGTTTTGTCGCCCAGCGTTTTTCGAGGACAGAGAATCTAAATTTGAATCCGCATAATGACGTAAATACAGCGTAGACAAAGACTTTTTGAGATATGGTTGAGCCAGTTTCCACTGACCCCATTCATCATCCGGGGCAACCAAGCCTTTATTGACAGGCTCATTATAGGCGTTCCAATTTATCTATTGTTGTAAAGGTTAAAATCAAAGGTACTTACATTCATTAAGTGAATGAGTTCACCAGCGTTACGACAAACAGGGAAGCAAACTGTCAATAGCAAATCAACAAACCTATTGAAGCGAGATTCAGATGCATTAGCCGGTAATAAAGATGTAAGCAATCTTGCCAACTGGTCGCGAGAATAACTTTCAACAGAGATAACATAAGGTTCGAAACTGAATGTCCCGAAATTAAACTTCTCCCATGGTAATCTGGTTACCAGGACAGTGAACAATAGTGGTGTGTGAGGACCGCCTAATTGGTTTAGCTTTTCATTTACAGAAGCTCCAAGGCCGACGATTAAGGGGAGGACTAGAGATTCTCTATCGCATAGTCTCTCAGCCTGTTCGAAAATTAACCCCACACAAGCTGAAAATATCGAAAATAACAGTTTGTTCAGACTTACTCTGGTCATGCGTATTTCTAACTCCGATAGCTAGTAAAATTTGACATAAGTTATCTATGAAACTGGAGGTATCTTCACAACTAATAGATAAATCAGCTTCGGGCAGATAACGACATTTAATTGACTGTAAAATCAATTCAAGAAAATATCTTGATGAAGTAGCTCCACATGTCCCTTGGGTCCCCACAAAGCTTTCTAGGCAGCTAATCAATACCCATAACACTCCACAAGACTCTTCCAGAAGTTCAAATGTTGAGGACACTAAAACTGACTTGCCACAGCCTGGAGGGCCTGTGATAACAAAGCATGTGGACAAAGGGTTTTTCTGTAATTATCCTCGGTATCCAATGAAAGCTTATACGTACTTTACATATTAACGAAAACAGAAACTGTTGCTCCTTTTCACGACCGACCAGCAGACGCCCTGTGTGAGACGTCATTGTCAACCGAGGCGATTACTTTGATAAAAACGGCTGAGCTCTTTCTAAAGAAAACAAATATCATATACAGGATGACATTTAACGGCAATTAAAACGTTTTTAACTAACAATTTAACAGAAACAGCTCTGACGATAAGCACTTCGAAATTTTTTTGTCAAAGACTGTATAATCTTAAGCTTCAATTCATCATGATCCATACTGATATAAAAAGTGGTCGGATTACACGACAGCCTGAATGTTTCATGCTAAACATGAAGAGGTCTTCTTCATACAAAGCACGATTCCTTAGTGATTTAAATGACAATCTTGACTATATTTTGATGAACCTGCTTCAGTCTGGGCACCTGGGCAGTATCACAGCCCTCAAGCAAATCGAATGAGATTTGTATGGCGCATATGTATCTGGTGCTTCCTTGTATCAATATTTATGTGTTTAAATAAAGAAATAAATATTTTGATGAACTTGGGAAACGAATTATAAATGTCACCGTAAAAAACATGACACACCTGAGATTATTTTAATCCCACTAGATCTTCTAAAGGGTCAAATAACAACATTCTAAACAGATGGTTTGTTTATTTTAATGGATGGTGACTGGAGCAAAAACAGTATTGCTAAATAGCACTCTAGTTTGGAAAACCAATACAAGTATTTAATTAGGATGACTAGGCTTTTAATCATACAAAACTCTGACAAGGTTAAAAATATTAGTAATTCACCAATGTTAACTGAGTTATGTCTAACAACAACGGTAGACAGTGAATTATCCGATAAGCACACCCTTTGATAAGTGGATGTCTCACAAAAGTGAGGGAAAATTGATAGGATAAGGAGCAAGAGGGACTGACACCAACACCAATAAAAATCTAGACATGACTCTCAGTCCATACGATATGCGATGAAAAGACAAAAAGTTGAAGATGCCGTCTCAAAATCAGGAGGGAATTAGTGTGATCCAGCTAAGACTTCTTATATTATTATTATTTAAACACATAAATATTGGTACAAAAAGCACCAGATAAATATGCGCCTCACGAATCTCATTTGACTTGTGTGAGGGCTGAGATACTGCCCAGACTGAAGCAGGTGGTTTTCTTAGGGGCCACACCCCAAGCCTTTGACCTAAAAGTCTGATCCACAAGGCAGTGGAGCATCGTGAGGAGATGCAGTCCCATGGTAGTCGGTGACAAACAATAGGTTCATACGCCATTCGTTCCTTCAGGATCCTGGAGCCCATGTGCACCATTGGTTTGGAATCAGGGTTTTCCAACTCCCCTAGGTGGACCCTCTATGTCCACCAACCCGGTTAAAGCGCCGGACATTCGCTTTTCGTCCTCTCACTTTTGTGAACAACACCCCCGCCACGAGAAGGCAGTGAGAAGGACTTCCCTAGCAGAGGCTATATATTCGCGTGGCCATGTGAGAGCGTTTCGAGAGGGAGAGCGGACTCTCCCCACTCTCGGCCGTACCAGGGCATTTGGGGGCATCCAGCTAAGACGAGCGACTACGAACCACCACCCGTTTACAATGTGATGTGCGTTGGACAGGTTCTCATCTGAAAATGAGTATCTCTCGAAATGGCTTAGGCCAAAAATCGGAAGTCCTGTGGTTAAGCTTATTACCTAACCCCTGACTGTTGCTGCTATATTGACGCGGCGATCAAGCATGTCTATCCTTTACAATTCGATATGTCTACTAAGCACCAAACTTTAGCTAAATCGTTTTTTTTGTGGTGACTTTGTTTCTGCTTAGTCTATTGTCATATTTGCAAAAGCTTAGTTCGACCTTTGCGCCCGAATGCCCTGATGCGGCCGGGGGTGAGGAGTCAGTTCCCCCTCTGGAAATGCTCTCACACAGCCAGGAGTATACAACCACTACCAGGGAAGTCCTACTCACTGCCTCGTGGCATTATTGTTTAAGAAATCAACAGGACAAAAAGCGAGCTTTAGTCTCTTTAACCGAGTTAGTGGATACGGAGGGTTCACCTAAGGGGGTTGGAAAACCCTGATTCCAAACCAATGGTGCACATGGGCTCTAGGATTTTGAGCGGAAGAATAGCGTGTGAACTAATTATTGGTCACCGGCTACCATAGGACTGCATTTCTTGACATTGATTTACTATCTTATGGATTAGATCTTTAGATCGAAGGCTCCAGGTGTGGCCTCCTAAGGTAACCACCTGTCTCGGACTGGGCACCTGAACAGTATTTCCGCCCTTACACAAATCGAGTGGTTTATGTGGTGGTGCTTCCTTGTACCATCGTTTATCTGTTTAAATAATAATATTGTCTTTTGCAATGGTTGAGCACTTATGACAGTAAGCATCAAAACGTTCTGGAATTGAAACACGGAAAAAATAGTAAAACTATCTAACCATTGGTCTTCTCCGATGTTTGGGAAAATCTTCAAAATTTAGGGGAACTTCCCCAGATCTGAGGAACTTTCGACGGTTTTGTGCTATTTCTTTTAAAGTTTTTATAGCGGCTTCCCCAAAATGGATAAAGTTTTCCACCAAATAGGGAGATTGGGTGCTGCGCTCACACCCAAATTTCCTTTGTTAACACGACGAGCAACCTGTTTATGGGGGACTGGATGACGCACAATAAAACAGACGTAAAAATGACAGGGAAAACTGAGGGAAAGACAGCGTCACAATGCCACACAGACATGCTATTTGCCCGAGCAGTTAAGATCATGTCAGGGCCCGAGTAAGACTTTAGGTAATAACGTTCGGTCATCCGACAATAAACGTCAAGCCAATAACTGAACACCGAAACGCTAATGAAAAAGAGAACTGAACAAACGAATAATTGATCACATGACATGTAAAATACGTACAAGGTAGTTCCGCTCAGTTTTGAATAAGTCTCATTTGCAGGAGAGGCAAGGATAGAGATTGGTTTTAACAAAATGACAAGTAACTGAACATAGTGAATATAAGGAGATTACTACATATTGAAGACGCCACAGGTATTGTAGTTTGACAACACCTTAACCAGAAATACCGTTATTTGAGGTTCGGTGATGTATTTGATAGGTTATCAGTATATCGATTCCACCTGCAGCACCTCTGAGGGCTACTACTGGTCCCAAGCCCAAATGAAGGAGGGGGTTGCGTTAGCGACCTCATCCAGTAGAAAGCTGTTTCGTCAAAAAACGCCAACTAGAAAAAAACAATTCAAATAATTTAAAATCTGCCATGGGAGTCAGAAAGTCTTCATTTAGAGGAGTTATGATGCCTCATGATGAAAACCCAGTTCCTTAGGAAGTCACGAGGATGGTGCCCCTTCTGACAACCTGGAATGTTTGTACAATGTAGGAGACCAGGAGAGTCATCCAAGTTGCTGCAGAAATAAAGATACAATCTGAAGATGTCTGAAATCCGTGAAACACATCGGACGCAGGTTGGACAACAAAGACTAGCTTCAGGAGAGCTGCTGTTATACTCCGACCATGAAGAAGAAAATTATCCACATACTCAAGGCGTTGCACTGATGCTATCCAAGCAAGCACAAAATGTACGATAGGCTGCAGTGAATCGTCGAGAAATGCCCAACAAAAGACTCGACCATCCTGATGAGAGACTTAAATACCATGGTTGGGATGGACAACACCGAATATGAAAACATCATGGGACGACTTAGACTTGGGGAAAGAAACGAAATAGATGAGAGGTTTGCAAACCTATGTGCCTTCAACAGATTGTTCATAGGCAGCATCATATTCCCACATAAACGCATACACAAAGCCACATGGACTTCACCGGATCACACTACACAGAACCAAATCGACCATATCTGCATCAATAAAAAGTTCAAACAGACGAAAGAGGATGTGAGCACCAAGAGAGGAGCTGATACAGCCCCAGATCATCACTTGCTGGTCGCCAAGATGAAACTGAAATTCAAAAACCACTGGACAATGGGATGGATAGCATCACAAAAGTTTAACATGACATTTCTTCGACATACTGATAGACTCAACGAATTCAAGATAGCTTACAACAATAGGTTCTGGGTCTCTTCATTACCTACTCAGTGTAGAGGGAACTACTATGGAGAGCAACTGGAAAGAGACCGAGGAGGTAATCACTTCAACATGTCATGAGGTTCTGGGCCACACGAAGCGCCATAACAAGAAATGGATCACTGTCGATACACTGGATAAAATTCAGGAACGGAGAAACAAGAAAGCAGCAATTAATACCAGCCGAACAAGAGTAGAGAAAGCCAAGGCACAAGCTGAATCGTTGGTAGCGTTCCTATAGACTAAATGGTTCATAGGTTTACGCTGAAGAGCCTTGAATGGTCTTTTGTCTGCTGTTTCAAGAGATCGTCGATGTGTGTCTCGATGAACCAACACATGTGTACTATGTGGTAAGTCAGGTTGAACGAAAACATCAGTTGATTGAGGTCAAGTGTAAGCAGGTTTAATTGAACGTAACGCGTTTGTAATCCTGCTCGTGTAGGAGTTTAGATCCATGTTCATTGAAGAAGACGAAGGATCCATGAATTCTTCTGGAAGTCGAAGTGTCGTCCCATAAACTAGTTCAGCTGCATTGTATCCAATGTCAGCTTTCACTGCATTGCGGATACCAAGTAAGACGAGTGGAAGAGCGTCTGTCCACTGTGAGGCGTTTTCAGCTGATAGTGAAGCTTTTAGTTGTCGATGAAAACTTTCTACCAACCTGTTTGCGTGTGGGTGGTAGGTGGTCGTTCGGAAGCTAGTGATTCCTAACAGTGAGGTCAGACAACGAAGAAGTCCAAATTCGAACTGGCGTCCGCGGTCTGTAGTGATTGTTGAATGGCAGCCGAAATTTGTTACCCGTCGTTCGACGAAGGCACGGGCCACGGTTTCAGCAGTAATGCCCTTAATAGGTACTGCTTCTGGCCATCGTGTGAAACGGTCTATGCAGGTTAAGAGATAAGAGTATCCGTTTGAATCTGTTGAGGGTTCCACCAAATCCAGATGAACATGGTCGAAACAAGTATCAGGAGTTTGGAATGAGCCTAAGGGATATTTATTGTGCTTAATCACTTTTGATTTCTGGCGACTTACACAGGAGCGTACCCACTCCCTGAAGTCCTTATTCATACCACGCCAGTGAAACCTTTCTGCAATAAGCTTGATGGTTGCACGAACATCTGGATGAAAAAGATCGTGCAACTCACTGAAGACGTTGCGTTGATAATGTTTCCGCATGATTGTGTGATCCCCACCTGCAGATGCGTCACATAGTAAGGTTTCTTTGGATGCGCAGTTCAAGAGTTGTTGAGGATAACTCGCGATGAAGATCAGTGCCTTCTTTTTGAAGACTGGCGAGTTTAGGAAGGTAGATTACTTGGAAACAGATCAAGGAAGTTATGCGAAACGAGGCGTCTACGACTACATTGTTTGCTTCGGAAATGTGTCGTTTATCTGAAGTAATTTGTGAAATGTAGTCCAGTAGTCGAGATACCTGACGGAAGTAGTTTCCAGAAGACGAGCTATAAGGAAGTGAAAGAGGTTTATGGTTAGCGGAAGGAGTGAATTCTCGGCCTTCGATAGAGTGTTGAAAATGCTGTACAGCACAAAACATAGCCAGGAGTTGCCTACAGAAAGGGCTATACCTCGATTCGGTGTGGAGCGACCGTCTCGAGACAAATGCTAAAGCTTGTCAGGTGTGGTTAAAGCAGTTCTGAAAAACTCATAAGATTGTTGATTCGGATGCTAATATTGAGATACCAGTGAGTGATTTGGTGTCATGATGTGCAAGGAAGGCTGCCTTCGCGGTAAGTTCCTTAACTGTGGATAATGCTTTACTCGCGCTATCGTCCAAATTGACGGATTTCGAATTTCCACGTATGTGATGAATTAGAGGTTTCGTAAGGGACGCGCATTTCGTTGTGAATTATCTATAGAAACTTGCGAGGCCGTTTAATTTGCGCAATTGCCTAACCGTGATCGGTTCTCGGTAATCCAGAACGGCCGCCAATTTGCTTCTAAGAAATCGGATGCTCTGCGCATCACTAGCGTGTCCTGGGAAGTCTAAGGAGTCGGTTCGTGTTTGGCATTTCTGAGTGTTTACAGTGATGCCATGCTTTTGCAGTCATTCAAACACAATGTTCAAATGCTGGAGGTGGGATTTTCTGGTCGGTCTTGCTATCAAGCAGTCATCAACATACGTATGTACAAAGTTGAAACCTCGGGAAACGTCATCGATGAACCTTTGGAAGGTTTGGGCAGCATTTCGTAGGACGAAAAGCATTCGCAAAAATTCTCAGGGTAAAAAGGGATTAATGATAACGGTTTCCGGAATATCGTCATCAGTCATAGGGATTTGGTTATAGGCTTTAACCAAGTAGATTTTCGAAAAGATAGTTGTACTTTTCAAGGTAGCTGTCAAATCGTGAATGTGAGGCAACGGGTAACGATCGGGAATGGTTTTAGCATTCAGACGCCGATAATCACCAGTTGGACGCCAATCATTGCTATCCTTTTTAGGGACCATGTGCCAAGAGGATGCCCATGGATGGTTGACGGTCGAATGATTCCTAACTATATCATGTGGTCGAATTCCTTCTTGGCTAACCTCAGCTTATCGGGAGCCAGTCGGCATGCCTTCATGAATACAGGTGAGCCTGTAGTCGTGATGTGATGTGTAGCACACACACTGAAATTTCGGTTGCGGTTGATATATCCCAGAGTACCTTTCCAGTAATGGTTGATATAAGGGGTCTATGGTGTACCTACTTGTGACTGGAGATAATTTACAACCAGAAAAAGAAGTTACGCAGACAGATAAATTAGTGTTTCCGTCTACTAGCCTCTGTTTGCGCTCATCGATGAGTAGATTGTAGTGTTGTAGGAGGTCTATACTAATGATTCGCATAGAAACATCTGCAACAACGAAGATTCAGTGAATGGGTTTGCGTAAACGCACTTTGAGGTAAACGTGTCAGTCGATTTTGAGTTCGGGTAATCGCAGGGTTTTCAACAATTTCTGGAAGACTTTCCATAGTCGTTATGATACTAGCACCAGTCGGGGTTATTCGTCTCTCATGATCTGGAGACAGGTCATCTACATGAAGTGCTTCTTCGTGGGGTATTTGACCATTTAAGGACATCACGAAACCTAAGATAACATGTAAGTGTATGACATGATTCTGTAATGTCATTCTGGTTCGTCTGAGGTTTTCTTTTTACTGAACAAACCTTGACATTAGAAGATCCTAAGGTTTCTAGGATGCGATCAACAGATGCAGCCAGCTCGTCTACAGCGTTGTTTTGAAAGGAGACCAGAACAGTTTGCACCAGCTGAAATAATGTGGATAAGAAAAGTTGTATAAACAATCCTTCATTGAAAGTTCTTTGGCCAATTACCACTCTCATTCTTAACAACAAGTCTGTTGCTGACCCATGTTTCAGGTCGACTTTATCAGACAGTTGATCTAACCTTTGTCCATCGGTTAGATCTCCGCGTTTTAGAATGGAACGTTTTAGAGTTTCTTAAGGTTCCGAAACATTACTAGTAGACATACTAGGTGTGACATACCTGTTGAATTCGCGTGGTAGTGCTATTGAAACCGCGAGGGATTGTGCGCATGGACTAGTCATACCATGCTCAAAGAAGTTGGCCTCTGCGTAGCAGAACGTGGATTCCATATTGTCCGGCCAAAAAGGCATTGGCTCAAACGAGTGTGGTGTAAGATTCTTGATCTTAAGTAGCTTAGGAGTCTGTTCCGTGACGGCGAATATAATTATGGGGATAAACGAGGGAAAAATATTCAAAAGTACTAACAAAATATCACAATGTATAAAAAATTAAGTAAATCAATGGTTTATGAAGTTCCAAAAAGGAACAGACTGACAGTTGATGTGTTGGTGTACTAGATCACGTTGGGTCAACCAACGAAGACGCGACAGGAATTGTAGTTTGACGACACGTTAACTAGCAACACCCAGTGAATTCACAAGTGGAAGGATCGAAGATATATTTGATAGGTTATCAATAAATCGAGAAGTCACTGATGTAAACTGGCTGGCGATCGCAGTAGTGGTTGAGCACGGCGTTCCCATTCATGATCTAGTGCGGGTGCATGACCGAGCGCCCTCAGCGAGGTGCGTCCATTAAAACTAATATG